CAACGTTTGCCCAGCAACAGCAACAGAGTGAAATTGATAAGAATAACAGACGCAGGCAAAGGCAAAGGCAAAGGCAAAGCCAAAAACAAAGACACAGTCGCAGTCACAGTTGCAGTTGTTGTTGTTGTTGTTGTTGCTGTTGTTGTAGTTGTTGTTGTTGCTTGCCACTTGAAAACCTTGAAGTCATTTGACACCAACAGACGGCGGCTAAGGAACGCAAATATCGCTCGACCAGGCGACACACCGCACACCTACAACAGTGACACACACACGCACACGCACAGGCATACGCATGCATGTGTAGTTGTGCGACCTACCGCAGTGCATGTCGGCCATAAATATTCAAATATTGAATGCCGATATTCATTTTACAGTGGCATCCCGAAATCAACTTTCAAAGGGTCGCACGATCCAATGGCCAGAGCCTAGCTTAAGTGCCTGGCGTCTGTCCACTCCATTATCACCATCATCATCACCATCGTCATCATCATATCGGAGTTGGCCTTGCAATCCTAGGCCAAGGAATATATGTGCGTACCAAATGCTAACTTCACGTCATTCATTGATAAGGCTTATCAAACATTGGAGCTAAGACATACATACATAAGTATATACAATATACTGTACTATGTATAATACGTCTTATCTTTACTCTCACATTCAGTTCAACCTTCTCTGTTGCGTCACATTTGCCAATGCACGAGTGAATCACATTCCATGGACTTAACTACTCATCCGGTGATGCGTAGATGGGCGGGCAGGTGCTCATTACAGAGAAGCCTATTCATACTATTTAATTGACCAGCAACACAAAGAGGAAGTCAATAAAACAAGCAAATTATTTTGCTTACAAATTGAAATTCGAGCTAAGTGCAGAACTTCAAATTTCAAGACTTGTCTTAAGCGCTTTGAATCAGACTACATTTCCCTCACCTATATACATATAAGTATGTATTCATTATACCAAGCTTAAGGCAATGCTTAGTTATTAAGTTAGTCTTCATTTAAAATTAATTCGAATCTTTAATAAATAAATAAATATTTAATCTGTTTATTTATATCTAACTATAAAAACTGTTCTATTCATATGACTATCCGTATCTTTGTATTGCCCTATATATATGTTTATCTATTCAGCTTACACTTATGTATATCTATATATATATATTTATCTTTCTTTTTGCATTATTATATACATGTTTATCTATTATGTTTTTTTTTTTTTTTAAATATTTAGAATTATAGTTTTTAGCTTTCTTTTTGCCATAGGTAAACAATATATTTTAATTAGCTATAATATAATATATTGTATAACACCGTTTTGCCAAATCAAATAATCTACCCATAATTTATGAAAATAAAACATTTATACTTTCCATATTATGTAATCATATTACGAAATTTTTGATAATCTCAACTGCACTTGCAGTACATCATTGAAATTTAATTGAAATAAAATAGTAAACTCTTGAAACTAAGGAGAGTAATTAAAGTTTTCCAGTTATATGAGATATTATATTCAACAAATGATTTCCTGATAACGAATATAGCTGTAATATACGCTCCGTTCTGTGATTGTTCTTATACTCTGCTAGAAATGAAAAATTGCCTCAGATATATGTATATTGTATATATAATATATAATACTGGAAAGCAAAAGCAACGTGTTGACTAGAGACTAAGAGTATTACATAGTACAACAATTGCAAAGACTCTGTTCCGTTGCAGTTGCAGTTGTTGTCTACGTAATACCCTCAGCTCCTCCATTGCCCGCCTGCCTTCCCCCCCTCTTCAAGCGACACATCTGCTTTAATCAGTTTATTTTTCTTCTCGTTGTTGTTGTTGGCTTTTGGTGTTATTGTTTTTGTTTTTATGAATTTTTATGCAAGTGTTGAGAAATTAATGTGCTCCCAGTTCGAGATGCCCAAATGCATGCCAATTTGCTTTTATTTATGGAGCCAACAACAACAACAACAGCAACAGCAACAACAACAACATCGAATGGCGGTATTAAATTTTAGACGCTGCGAAAAATTTGGATAAACGGACCCCGTGCGAGCATGACGTATGTATGACAGCTCTTTGATGATCATCATCCATTAGAAATTGCCCGGAACATTTGGGATGTGCGACACGGCCAAAGTTCAATAGCGCTATATAATCAATCTCTTGATACCAGACCAGGTTGCTACCCCATAGCTATACGTCACTTTTTAGCTATTTATAAGTACATATGTATGTATGTATAGATTTTGTATTGAATTTTCGGTGTTGTTTTTTTTTTTATGGATTTGTATTGTGACTAATGAATGTCGCGTTTTGACATCTTGTCACTTGGTTGATTTTTTTTTTTCGTTTGCTTCCTAGACGCAGCTCTGACAACGTGTGAAATCGCATAGATGAACGAGCCATAGCTCCAATCCTAGGTATATAGGTAATAGATCTACATAGATATACACATGTAACACATAAACGCCATAAAGTGTGCCGTTACTAATGATAACGGCAACACATGGCGCATGCTTCAACTCGCCGAGCGGTCCCACGCCATAATATATATATATAATACGTAGTATGTGTACATATGTATATTGTGAATTCATATATACACATAATACGTGCACTCGTATATACATATGTAGTCCCCTACCATCCACAAAAATAAAAGTTGGAGCTTAATAATCGAGCAAACAATTCATTGATTAGATTAGTTCGTATGACTGTACCCTTTTTTAGCCATATATATGTATTTTATTTACAGGCGTGGTCAGTATTGCGATTGACATTTTAAACATTATTTAGTAATATTCTTGAGAAACCTATTAATCATTCTCAGATAATATTATGCGTAGGAATAGCGGGAATCGAACCAAAATATATATGTATGTATAAATAGGCAAAATTAAAGATTTATCGAATGTAAGCCAATTTGCTTTTCTATTTGCAGATCATTCTATTTTCTTGCTTTATTAAATGTGATGCGTGTTATCTTAACAAATTAAAAATCTGTATATAATCGAGATTATAGGCATATGTATGTATGTGTGTTTATTTATATAGCAAAAAATTAAGCCTAATCAAATGTGAAACAATTTTCATATGTATATGTTTGGAGCTATTTCCTTCATTTGGTATATTATATATGTATGTATGTACGTACTAACGCTTGTCTATCATATTTGATATACACATATTTGTTACTAAAATTGAGTTTTATATAGAAAGTGAGAGAAATGATGAAGCTAAAGTCAAACTGAGTTAAACTCTCCAGTCAAACTCTAAATGAAATTTTGTGCATATCAAAATTATCTGAAAATAAATATTTAAATAAAATATGCAGGTGCTCAGCTTAGATAATTGCTTGCAAATTAATTTGCCATGACAGATTGTTGACTTTTATTTGTTAACATTTACGGCTTATCGAATTGGAGGAACTCGTGCGTGAGTGTGAGTGTGGGCGCCCGTCTGTGTAAACGGTGCGATAGCAATTCAACAACAACAAATTGACTCCATGCAGGCAGCGCAGCGCAGGCGAACCACGGCAACAGCCAGTCCAAGGCCCGCTGCATAAGGTGTGCCTGTGTGGAAGTGTGTACACACTCTTTCGTTGGTTAACTGTAATTAAAACAAGTAAGAAGGCTCCAGTCGAGACTGCTCGACTGGGAGATACCCTGAACCCTCCAAGCTGATATTCTAATCATTCTGCACTTCTTCTATGCACACATACATACACATGCACTTATAAGCACGCGCTCTGCTAACTGCGCAGTAAGCAGCGGCTACGCTTGGGCTGCGCTGCAATGTGGGCAATATTATGAGAATTTATTAGTTGAATAATTTCTCTTGTAGTAAGAGTATCTTTATGAAACTTTCAGAATGTGTTCATATAGTTAAAATGTGTGTACATTCCAAAGCACAAGTCTCTAGTACTTGAAATGCGTTTTTTACAAATTGGGGGCGAAGGGGGCGTGGTATCCAAAATCTGTAAATTACAAAATCTTTGTGTCTATTAACTCTATATACAACGCAAATTTGAAGTCTCCTGGTTGAAAAGTGTTCAAATTAGGCTGAAAAAACAATGTCGATTTTTCGATTATTCTCGATAAAAAAGTTATCGGATGAGTTATCGAAAAAATAAAGCAAACTCGTACTGCCTATGATATACACGAGTATGCATGCCAAATTTCAGCTCTCTAGCTCTTATAACTTCTGAGATCCTTTTGCTCATACGGACGGACGGACAGACGGACAGGGCTATATCGACTCAGCTCGTCGTCCTGATCAAGAATATATATACTTTATGGGGTCTGCGATGATTCCTTCTGCCTGTTACATACTTTTCACAAAACCATTATACCCTGATTTCCCATTTTCAATGGGTTCAGGGTATAACAATGGCACTTTTTGTTTACACAGCGAGCGAAACAGCTAGCGGGCTAGCGGATCATGAACGTGGGAGTGAGAGCGCGAGAGCGCGTGAGATGCCGAGAGAGCGAACGACGTAAACAAAGGATAGAGGCACCAATTGCTGCCTATTGGCGGCCATTTTGTTGGCCCGCTCAATTTCATCAATTTCATTAAGAAAATATCCATTTTTGCTTTCTTGTTAATTTAGATTTGGCTTTTTTATTGTTGTTGAAATTGTTTGCAGCATTTAAATGTTTATATATGTACATAGAGCAATAGGGAAATAAGAATGAAAGGGGCAGAGATACAGATAGAGGGAGAGAGTGATACGAATAAAATAGAACACTTAGCAAACTTACACAATATTACAGTTTAATAACAATTCAAAGGCAATGCGAGCGCATTTGGTATGAAAGACTTGTAAAAAAAAAAAAAATTGTTGTTACATACTAGAATTTGTTTACAATTACGATACATTTTTGGCATACTTTTGAACTAGACACAAAACTGTCGCTTAATACTAGCAAAAAAAAAAAAATATATATATATATATATATATATATATATAAAATATATATATATATATGTGAGACAATTATATTAAATAATAGTAATTTGAGTTGAGTTTGAGTTTTGGATTAGTTGAAAATACTTGTAATACTTGAGTGCAGGCCCAAGGCTGACTATATATAGTATAATACTTGGCATAGCTCGACCCTCTCCCAGCGCTTATCAGCGCGGCCCCAAGTCGATGTAGCTGTTGGGCCGCATCATTTGATGGGCGGTCGCGGCGCTGCCGTAGAAGCTCTGATAGCTGCTCATCCCGTACGCTGCGGCTGCCGCCTGTCGCATGTGACCCGGCGAGACCTTGAGCTTGTCGTAGGGACTGCCATAGCCATGGCTGTGATAGTGCGCCGCATTGTGATGATAAATGGCACCAAAGTTACTCTGCTCTCCGGCATATGGCTGCCCAATGGTCGAGTAAATGTTGGCCGCTGCCATCACCTGAGTGGCTGCAGCAGCGGCAGCAGCCACGCCCGGCGCTGGTGGCGATGCCGAGCTGGCCGACAGCGGCGTCAATGGCGTTGTCGCATGCTGATGCTGATGATGCTGATAGGGATGATGATAGCTGCCGCCATAGCTGCTGGACATTTGATGAAGGCTTTGCTGTTGTTGCTGCTGCTGGTGTTGGTGTTGCTGTTGTTGGTGTTGCTGCTGATGATGTTGGTGTTGCTGGTGCTGCTGCTGCAATTGTTGCGGCGTTGGCTGCAACTGTTGCTGATGCAAATGCTGCTGCTGTTGTTGCTGCTGCTGCAGCGGTGTTGCCTCCAACTGAAAGGCCAACAGATCGGGTGAATTGCCTGATGTTGAGCTGCTCGAGGGCGTGGCTGGCAGCTGCATCCCCAATTGAGTTGTGGTTGCTGCTGCGGCGGCTGCTGCTGCCGATGCTGCTGCCGCCGCCGCCGCTGCTGCTGTTTGCTGCTCCACAAGCTCTGTGCAGGACAAGCTGAAGCTGTTTGGCGGCGTTCGGTCCTTTGCCTTTAAATGCTGCTGCTGCTGCAGCTGATGTTGCTGCTGTTGCTGTTGCTGCTGTTGCTGCTGCTGCTGCTGTTGCTGCTGCTGCTGCTGCTTCATGCGGGCTTGACTCTCATGGCTCATGCTGGACATGCCCAGGCTGCCGCTGGTGCTGCAATTAAAATTTCAAATTCAAAATTTCAAATTTTTGATAAACATTCAGAAACGCTTCCACTTTTTTTTGTTTTTTTTTTTTTGTTTACAATCGACCCTCTGCCGAAATATGAAAAAAGGCGAAAGAAAAAAAAAATTGTTTATAGCTGGCTGGCTGGCTGGCATGTCTGTCAGCTGGCCCATCATAGCCAGCCGGAGATGCTTATGCTCCACATTCTAAGTTGAAGTTCTCGCACCCATTTTGAGTTATTGTTTCATGTGCGTGTTTTATTTTTGTAGATGCGACGCGTCGGCAATTCCCGGAATGACTTGAACCAGCGGCAACGACAACGGCAACGGCAACGGCAGCCAGTCGACGGACTGTCTGGCGGACCACTTGGATTTGAATTGTGTTCGACAATAAATATGGGCATTGCCTCTAAGTGGGTCAATTTCATAACAAATTGTATTACAAACAACTATTAAGGTTTCTATTTGATAAATAAAACAACTAAGAGTGCTATAATTGAGACTGCTCGACTGGGCGATCCCCTGAACCCTGCAAAAGAGCTGATATTCCAATTATATGTTTCCTTCATGCATATACTAATAGTCTCCAGCTTTTGTGGACGAACGAACATGGCTCAATATGAGCTCGACATCCTTATCGAGAGTATATAAACTTTTGCATATTTTATTTTATATGTGCCTCTTACATATCCTCAATACCCTTAGAGGGTATTCATGCGTCGTCTTGCTTCACTTTGCTGTTTCTTTGATATTTTTGTTATTTATGTAAATAATGTTTAAGGCTTTAGTTCTTGTCATATTTTGCTGAGGCTTAAACAAGATTTGTTGCTGCGCCTGAATCATTTATACTATAATACATACATACATATGTATATATTTTAGTTAAGCTCTCGCGGACTTATAGACTATGTAGTTGCTTAGAGATATGATATACCATATTGGCCTACTTACACATCGTTGGTGCCATCATCTCGAAATCCTTTGGCGAATGGGTTGCTCGATATTTTCAGTTGTGTCACCTGCACACAGAAGAATATTTCTTTTTAATTTAAATTTATAAATACAAATAATATATGGAAATTGTTATAAATTCTTTGGAAATTGTTTTGGCCCCAATGTTGTGTTAATAATATTCATTGTGCTGCTGTTTTTATTACAATATAAATGCAACAAATTAGAAAATGTTTACAAAGCATTCAAGCCAACAAACAGCAAACTACATAAGCAACTACAGCAACAGCAACAACAACAACACATACCAAATTTATTTGCAATAAATTGTAGAACGAAAAGTGTTAACACCCACGTCGAGCGCATAAATAATTTAAATACTTTCGTTCAAATGGCGCTAAAAATAAAATGCCACATATATTTATGCACAGATATCCATATACATATTTATATAAAACATACATACATATTTACATATTTATTTTTTCCTTATTTTAATTCTTGGAGAATTATAAATACAAATATGATTTTCTTTTCTCTATATGGATAGAGTTCTTTAACTATAGTAAGCAGCTAAAAAATGTTATACATAACTCTATTTTTTTATTATTTTTCCAGAGCTTAAAATTTTTATTTAAAGTTTTTTTTTTTTTTTTTATATAAAAATATAATGTCAAAAATTAAATGAAAGTTTAAGTAAGCTAAATTTTTAAATATTTTTTACGTAATAATACAAATAACTACTTTAGTTTATTAAATTATTTATTTGATATTTTTTGAATGAATAAAAAAAAAAATAAAAAAATATATAAAATAAAAAAAAATAAATAAAATAACAAAATTTTATACAATTAATGTAGAAATTCTATTAAAATAAAATAAATATGTGTGTATGTATACATTCCATCAAAAGTTTATTTTTATATAAAACTCTGATAATTATAATATTTCTCAAATTAAATTTTTCTTGAATATATTAATATATAGTTAGTACAATTTAAATATAAATGTTTTATTGTTATTAAAATTGCTATACAAAAACTTAAATTATTATGAGCAGGCGCTATAAATAATATTGTTTAAATATTAAGCAAAAGGTAATTTGTTAAGGTGCTCATTTATAGATAAATATATTTTGTTTATGTAGCTCTCTAAAATTTATTTATAGTGTATCTGCCGGTCTTTAATCATGCAAAATGCAAAATTTTTAATTTTAATAAATATCACAAAGACAAGAAATTAAAAACATTTAACAATGGGCACAAATTTCAGAAACGGCAGAAGCTGGGCGTGGCTGGGTGATGGGCAGGAGGCCCAAAAATCTTGTCGACCACAAATGCTACACAAATGTTAATTTGACTAAAAACTGAAAAGCGTTGGCGCTTGTCATTTACAAGTGGGTCCGACGACAAGTGGGTCAAGTGGGGCCCGCACCCCGCCTAAATACCCTGTTCCCATGGCCCTACACATGCCTCTACCCATGCCCCTACCGATGCTCCACTGCTTTATACTCACGCGCTGGTTCTGATATGCTGTTACGGCCGTAAAGCTAGTCTCCGGGAATATGAATGTGCGAAAGTGACTCGAATGCTCATTCTCATCCAGCGAGGCATTCTTTGGCGGCAAATAGACCAAGTGGAAGCGCGGCTGGTAGCGATGCATCGAGTTCAATATGATCTGTGGAATGGAATGGTAATTGTGGACAGCGTGAGCGAGGGCTGAGAGAGAGAGCATCATGACATGTGTTCTATGAATGCCGAGTGCTATCGGATGGCAGCTGCCGGTTTTTGTTTAGAGCTTTCCAAACACAACCACAGCAACAATCACGAATAATAATCATTTGATGTTGTTGTTGTTGTTGTCGTTTGGCGCGGTGGCAGCAACCAAATGTTTTATGCCCCGCATAAACAAAGCCAAGCATAAATTTATGACCCAATTAAATGCCAATACTCACATGCCCATTCTCATCCAGCTGATTGTTGGTCAGCTTCAGCTTGTCGAAGGACACAATTTGCTTCATCCAATTGGCGCCGGCCGCCGGCGAATCGGGATGGACATGTATTCGCGGCGGCGATATGGCATCTGCTTTGCCAGCGACCACCCAGCAGGAGCTGCAGAAGACACAGATGGAGTTGAAGATGTGATGAGATGACCTGAGATTGATTGAGACCGGCTGCACTCGGTGCACATTATAATTACTTGTGGAACGCGTAGCGATAACGCTTATCATCCATGGGCACAAAGTCCATCATGCAGATGTAGGTGGCGTGCGGATCGAGGCCACCGATGCGCACCTGAAAGGTGGGAAACATGCGACGGCCCGTCTTTGTGATAATCATCTCAGTGCCCTGTGCATGAAACTGATCCCACAACGCCTTCGTTTCCAGCACTACAATCGCCTGCGCCAGCGATGGATGTACGGGCTCTGGCTCCTAAAGAAAGTGGGTGTGGTTCGAAATAATGGATATGAGGTTTAAAATGAGAAACAGTAAGGAAGATAGGAGACTAAATCCTGAGATATATTATATATTATATGAGTATATATCCTAACTAGATTAAGTGATACTCTCAGCGGGCTCTACTAAACACCGTAACAAACATTATTATGGTTCGGAAAACAGAATAAGATTTTATTAGAATACAAGAAGAATGTTCTAATTGGGGGTGTCTAAGCAAGAGATATTCGGAACCATGCATGGCATATATCCATCATCTATCACCTAAGAGTCGCCACAGTCAAACTCTTATCAATTTTATGTTATGCTTGATAAATCAATTATTATCAATATAGGAAATGGAACTAGCTATCGAGAAAAACAAATGATAAATGATAAATGATAAAAGATAAGATATATCGAATAATAGGTACATATGTGCATATCTAAGTAGATTTTAGAGGTATATTCAAACATGTGAACAGACGTACTCAGCTATCAAATCTTGCAGCTATTGCTGCATCTGCATGTTAAATTTAACAAGACAGTTGCTTGAATTTTTACTTCACTTTTCAACTTTAGCTAAAAATAGTTGACGAATGTTAGTAAATATTATAGTTTTATAGTGTCTTATTTGAAATGGCAAACAGACCTAATTTCAATACATTGTCGAGCAGGAATGTTCATGGCAATTGCAGTTGTCAACTAACATGAACTTTGACATGAGCATGTTACTTTGGCATTTTGCTGCGATTCGTTAAGAATAGTATAGTGAAATACTTACACCTTTATTGTTGTTGTTTTTGCTGCTGTTGCTGTTGCTGCTGCTGTTGTTTGACGTGTTGCTGCTGCTTGCTGTGTTGTTGTCTTTTTTGTGGCTGTTTTTATACTTTTTGTTGGCCGTTGATGTTGCTGTTGACGCTGCTGCTGCTGTTGCCGTTGCTGCTACGCCAGTTGCTGTTTCATTGCTGCTGTTGTTGTTGTTGCTGCTGCTGCTGCTGCCAGCAGCATAATCCGCTACACTCTGCTCCTGGCAATTGGTGGCGCCATTTGAGTGGCTGCTGCTGCTGCTGCCGTTGCTGCTGCTGTTGGTGCTATTGCTGCCTGTGCTCTGCGCATCGATGTCCGCCAGCTTCGCATCGATCTGTTCCAGCGGCTTGTACGAGGTGCGATCCTTCCCAGCCGTCTGTATGCAAGCTGTGAATGAGGCAATGCAAGTAAGTTTATAGAATTTGAATTGATGTTTAAATACCAAGATAATTCTAGCTGAGATTTTCTTAGATTCTTTTGAGCACTTATTTTGCTTAAAAGGTAATATTTGATGATCTTTAGTAAGTTGTAGTTATATAAACATATTTTGTTATACAGCTTAAATATGCAACACGAAGTAACTATACGAGTTCTATTCAAAAACTATCGCACAAAAACTATCGCACTACTTTGGCATACGTATACTCATCTAAGCCGAAAAGTTGAGCTATTACGAATGCTGAATTTATTCTTGACAAATATTTAGCTTTGACTGATTTTAGACCCCTTTCGATATTTGTCTATTCCAAAAGCTGGCGAAATAAATCTGTATAATATATTTGGCCGAAAACAAGACAGTCCTAATGTACCAGCCACCGTATAACCTAAAGCTGATCCATCTGAGACTTTTCCTTGTATTGTGGATAGCATCGCCCTTTGATGTGCGTCTTCAATATATCATCTAGACTCAAGATGACAAAGACGGTATCAAAGGACATCAGCGGCTCCCAAAAAAGGCTATGCTTTAAAAGCAAACTGTTTAACACTTCAACAAAAATTGATAAATAATTAAATTACTTTATTTAAATTATATATAAAACTTTGTATTTTTAAATAGACCAATTTTTTTCATACATAAATGCTTTAAATATATATATATTTTTAAATTTTTTGTTACATTTTTAAATCCCTATTTAAAAATCACAATTTTAAATAATAAAATAAATATTTTGTAAATTATATATATTATTTATTCTGTTTTTATATATAATATAATAATAATAATATTTTTATATATAATATAAAAACAGAATAAATAATATATATAATTTACAAAATAATTATTTTGGATATATTTTAAATATTTAATAAATGTTGATTTTTTTTTTTTTTAAATTTAATGAATAACTTTTTAAATCAAATTTTATAAATATTATTATAAATAATTATAATATTATTATATATACATATATTTTGAGCGGCTTTTCAAAATCAAAGAAAAACCAAGAAAAAAAGAAACAAACAAACAAAACACCAAAACAAAATAAATAAATAAATATATATTCAAAATTGACGCTACGAAACTAAAAATAAAAAAATATAGAATTTATATATAAATCATATCAAACGCAATTTGTGATACTCAAAGGTATTTTTGATCAGCTTGCTGCAGGTGCGATGCGATGCAAAAGCAAATGAGCGAAAACGTTGCGCACATAAATCAAATGAGATTTATATATATTTATTTGAGTGGAGACTGGAAATATAAGTCAACAGCTCTGATATGGGCTAGCAAATATCATAATCAGAAGTACATATAGATGTATAAAATATGATTTATATGATTTTAAAGTGCGACATCAAACAGATCTGACGCTGGCGCTGGCGCTGGAGAAGGTCGCGCAGGCGCAAGCTAAAGGATGGCAAGACTAGGGAACCACTAGGGAGCACTGAGGATATATGTATGTATATATGTATATACGTATATATGCACGACAAATTGGATCGGGCGAGTATAATGAACGGCAAGAATAGCGGCAATCCAATTATAAAAGTCGTCAGAGCCAGCGACTGTTGATTGAGTTGCCAGCTAAATTTAACGCAATGCGTCGGCCCTTTGCAGAGAGAGAGAGAGAGAGAGAGAGAGAGAGAAAAGAGAGAGACAGAGAGAGAGAGAGGGAGAGAGAGAAAGGAAGGAAGAGAGTTGGCCAAGGGGGGTGGTGGGTGTAGGGTTGTAGGACAAGGCAACAGGCGCCTCACAGTAAATTTTGCAATTAATTGCCGCATGTTGCAAGTGCTGCAAGTGTTGCAAGTGCAACCAGCCAGCGCAGCCCAGTTCGTTGCAATGGAATTCCGTCGCCGTCGCCGTCGCTGTTGCTGTTGCTGTTGGAGTCGCCGCCAATGACCCATGACAGGTCGCCAACGGCGTCGCACGCTCCACAGCATCAATTGTCGCTTAATGAGAGATTTTTTGTTTGTTTTTGTTTTTTTTTTTTTTTTGTTTGTTTTTTTCTCTCTCTCTCTCCTTCTCTGTTGGCTTCACGAATGAATTCTAAAATCAATTAGCGTTTGGCACAAATAAACGTTTTTCTGTCACGCCAACCCAAACATCAAAAAAACAACAACAACAAACACTATATAAATAAAAACCAAAACAAAAGCAAATAGTGTCAATCGCAATTTTATTTTATTGCTTGCGACTCGAGGCATTTAAAGAAGTTTCACGCTAATTGCCCGCCTTTGTTTATATGTATGCAGTTATTCGGGCTCGAAGTACTTTCAGTAATTCAACATTTCGACTGTGCCAGGTCACAGAAAAACTCTTTGGATAAAGAGCTTCCTGGGATATAACTAGGGCTAGAGCTAGAGCTTGATCTGTGAATTGGTGTTTGTTTTGTTGCTCTTTCTATCTTGACTTTAGGAATAACGGTTGATGCCGTAACAGCATAAAATAGACTTGCAGCAATTTAATTAAATTCTAAATTTTAATATAATTAAAATTTCATTAATATTAATATAATTAAAATATTTGTAGAATATATTTTCTTTTATTATTAATTTTAATAATATTTATTATTATTATTAAGTTTTCATCCAAGTCCTAGGCAATTTTTATATCTTATATATATGTAATGATATACTATATATATTTGTATAAATATATTACATACTTAATGTTTATTATTTAGCTTCAGTTAAACATTGATATATACATATTAGCATATAAACTATATTTATACTTGTATTAGCAGCTCAAGCTTAAATGGTTTTTAATTTTCTATAAGATATTAGAGCATTCTATTAGATATGTAAGATATATAGAAAATAGTTTAAATTTCATATTTTTCTATTATTTTATATCAATACAAAATGTGTGAAAATTTAAATAAACACAACATTTTTTGTCTCTATTTTTTCTTTTGAATTAAAAAATTACTATATTTTTTAAATAAAAAAAACGTAAAAACAAAGAAATAAATAAAATAATAAATAAGATTTTGAATATAGAAATGAAAAGTTTTGTTATTATAAAACTTTTTCTTTTTTTTTTTTTTTTTTTTTGCATACCAAATATATTTTAAATATATTAAATATTAAATATAATTATAAATGCTTATTTCTGTGTGTGTTTAACATACTCTTCGGATAAAATATGTCAAAGAAATGTTGAAAAAAAATGTTCACAAAATTTGAAATAATAAATTCTTCTACGATTCCTTAAATGATATCCTATTACTCTATAAAGAAATGTTTACTTTGTAGTATTAGACAAGCTATATCCCAAATCTGCCTCATATTTTCAAATTAGTTTTCTATTTACCCAGTTTCGACTCACCTTCAATCTGTTTCATGGGACTCAGCCCGCCCGTTGTGTATGGCGAGGTCCAGTAGTCGTTCGCATAGAAGCCGTAGTCCGCCAGATTGCTATTGAGGCCATTGTCCAGGAATCCAGGCATGCTGGCCACCATGGTGCTGGCACATTCCGTGGGGCCCATCATGTGTGTCATGTTGCCAATTTGAGTACGAATACTTTTCAAATGATATCTGCTCTCTCTCTCTCTCTCTCTCTTTCTTTGTGAGTCTATTGTGTATTTGCTATATGTCAGAGTCCAATTAACCCATATAAATGATATTCGAAAAAATAAATTTCAAAAATCCGAAATCCAAATTCGAGTTGAATAAAAAAAAAAAAATTATAATAATAATAAACACGAAATTTTGAAAAACTAGTGAATAATTGATAATGTTTTGGCTTCAGGTCATTCAGTTCTTTGGTTTTGTTTTGATTTCAAAAGTTTTTCGCGCAGTTGTCAAATTTGATTATTACACTCACACACTCTCACACCGGCACACTCTCAGTGTGCTGTATGTGTTGATCAAATGTAGGTAGCCGCCGTTCAAGTTGTCAGCGTGTCAATCAGAACAACAACAACAACAACAATAAGCACCACACGAACTCACAGGAAAAAAAAAAAACTGAAGAAAATATATAAAGAAACGATTCTGTGGGGAAAAATTGCAATCGCTTCAACACCTCGACGCAATTTTCAAATATTTTCACCGATTTTCCCGAGAATTTGTTCGATTTCCCGTTCGAATCGGTTTTTTTTTTCTTGTCTTGCTTTTTGTTGTTTTTTTAGAGTTTGGCGTTTTATGGTCCGAACGCGTTGACTGCCAATTTCTCTAGCCGTCGATTATAGCGAACGATTGATTAATTGAATGAATGATATATACTGGGCCGATCGTTTGATTCCTTTTCTTGGTTGGACTCCCTCTTCTCTTGCTGTTCTTTTGTTATTGTTGTTGTATTGCGAATTTAAAGCGCTGAAAGGTGTCTCAATTGCCACCTTCCGGCCAAGTGCGAACTGATTTGCTGTCGCACCGTTAACCGTTAACCGTGCTCCGTGCTCCGTGAACCGTTGAACCGTTGAACCGCAATGCCGCACTGCCCGCTGTCTGCGCACACTTGACTCGAACTCAATGATATGAAAATTTCCCGTTGCTGCTGCCGATGCTGCTTCTGCTGCTGCACACGCGCTCGCATCCGTATTGTCAAGAGTTTGGCCGCGGAATGAGCCAGACGCATCGATTGCCCGTCCAATGGATGCTGGGATCGTTCAGGCTGACGGCGGCACTGCTCACCAATCGCTGCGCCACTCGAGATGCTCAATAGTCGGCATCAGCATCCAAATTTAGCATTGCCCATTTGTGTGTGTGTGTGTTAGTGGCTCTCTGCCCGCATGTGTGTGTGTGCGCCCAAGTGTAGCTGCGCAGCGATTGGCCAATGGCAGCAGAGCTTCGAGCTGATCGCAGACGAACCAGTTGGATAAACATTGACGAACGGTAGAGGCGCTACAATAGAGAACTAATATCAAATCGACGACTGTGGGAGACTGTTTGTGGAATACTCTTTATGATAAACGGTAGAGGCGCTAAAATAGAATATCTATATCAAATCGACGACTGTGGGAGACTCTTGGTATTATACTGTATATGACGACGGTAGAGGCGTTACAATCGAAAACTAATATCAAATGGACGACTGTGGGAGACTCTTTGTGGAATGCTCTATATAACGAACGGTAGAGGCGGTAAAATAGAATACTTATCTCAAATCGATGACTGTGAGAGACTCCTGGTATTATACTCTATATGACGAACGGTAGAAGCGTTACGATCGAGAACTAATATCAAATGGACGACTGTGAGATACTCTTTGTGGAATACTCCCCATTCAATACAAATATAGGATATCCTCTTTGAAATACTCTTTGCTCATGTGTAGATAGTAGATTTGAAATGAAATATCTATATAGAGCATATGGTATACCCATAGCCAATACGTGGTATACTCTAAAAGAAATACCATTTGTGGTATGCCCTATATGGAATACCCTTTATGTACATAGTATACCCTATGTGTCATATCTTTTGTTATATTTGATATGGAATATTTTGATATGTAATACCCAATACGAATCTTATATTAAATGTCCTATATACGTAAATATTGTAGTCCTATATGTAAAACTCGACATATGATATACCTCACATGAAAAACCTAAATTTTATGAAAAACCCTCATATATGAAATTGCAAATTTGAATGATATGAAGTTGCAAATTTTTCGGGAAAACCTATAAGAACTAGCTTTGTAATATTTGTAGTATATAAATGACAGTCTATAAAGTTGAGCCACAAATTGTCAAATAAGAGATTATGCAAGCTAAGCATATCTTCTGCTATTCAATGTAGGGTATTCAATTACAACGTCTGTAAAATCTACGAGCAACCTAAATTTTTTGGGTAAAACCTACTGAATGCATATGCTCAACATATATGATGTAGGCTATTGTGGATATCTAAGGCAACAGCTACAGTGAATACTTACTAGAAACAATTTTTTATCTGCTAAAACTAAAATAAGACCAAAAACAAAACCAATATACTAATTCACTTTCGTGAATGAGTATAATGAACAAAGAAATTCAGAGATAGTTGAATAAAGGAGTGAAAAATGAATTTAAAAAAAAAATAAATAAATAAAAATAATAATATATATACTGTATAAGAAAATTTAAATTTACGTATTTTTATTTATTTATTTATATTTAAATAGTACAGAAATTGCAAGTATACGCATATAGCTCAAATTATAATATAGCCAAATAGATCTAGCTCGATTATCGACTAATGCTGTCAAGCCTTCCGTTCAGCCCAATTGTTGGTGTACTTCTCGTTTCGTTCCAGCCAGTGCACACTGTATACTCTCCACATACGATATATGTATGCTGCCTCTCTTTAGTTTCACTCTAGCCCAATGCGCACGTTCCGTGATCTTTCACGGCACGAGAGACCACGCCTCCGGCGTCTCTTAACTGGTCGAACACGATGCTCCAAACGTCTCTCGTGCTGCGAGTGGGCGTGCTGACTCATTGCATGGGAACTGGCTTCCCAGGGCCCTCATTTGGCAAATGCTTTTAATTGGACTGCTACCACATGGTGGCGGTGCTGATGGTGCTGATGGTGCTGGTGGTGTTGGTGTTGCTGCTGCTGCTGCTGCTGCTGTGGCTATAGTCGAAGCCATAAATACAAATTGCGCCATAACCTCGACACTAAATAAACCGTAAAGAGCGGCCCTAGATGATCCGTACTCGACGCACACCGGCGGCTACAGCGGGGCATTAACATTTTGGTTTATAAGAGAAAAAGAAAGAAGGAGAACAAGAAGAAATCGAACAAAATGGCGTCTGTTAGCCATTAGCATTAGCGAGTTGGCCAGCTACGGGCGCTGTGCCCAGCGGCTGAGCCGATCAAAGCGATTGCCGGAGGCAGAGGCAAATGCTTGTTTTTTTTTTCTTGTATTTAAATTTTGTTGTTGGTGTCTGCTTTTCATCACCCACACTCATTCAATTAACGGTAAATGCAGGCCGCCATCGCTGCTGCAAAACGCTTAAATTTCCATTAGAATTGGCCCCACTCAGCATCTGGCTGTATTACCTGTACCTGTAAAACACCCTCCCCCAACCCCAATACTCCGACTACGTTTGTTTACCTTTGCATTTTTGTTGCACACACACACACACATATAAATATACATACACATATATGTATATAGAGAGAGAAGGCTTACCTTTGTCTATATTTATATGGCATTGTTATTTTCAAACGATTCCGTTATAAATCTTAACATCCAGTTATTCACAGGATTCACATTGCCCGCACGGGCTACACCCAGGTGCTCTGTTGTTTCTCCGTGGGCTGTTTACAATTATTTTCGATTAAGTGGTTTGCATTTTGTTTGCCTCAGTCCCAACCAAACAAGCAGCGAACCAGACTCCCAATCCGCATCGATCTAAACATTCCTCTAGCATAAATACCAGACGACGACGATTATATAGTAAGGCATTCATTTGATTTGAGTTATGGCATGTTGATATTACCTATTAATTGCCATAATTTATTCATCATTTCTGCCAAGATCTCAAAGTGTAAACATTTAAAGCCAATTTGCGCATTGTGAGAAGCGCATAGGAAGGCACGCGCACAGCCATTGAATATGGAAAGTTGATGTTAAGTTAATCATAATCTGTGTGCCGCTATAATGTATACATTTATCATATGTATTATGTATACACTTACCATTCTATATATTATATATTTATACTAGATTTAGTAAGTTTATTTTATATGTACATATTTTTCTATACCCTTAATCCATTGCTATTTGGCAAGTGAAGGTGTGATTCACGCTCTCAAGTATATATACTTTTGATCCATATGATAAACTGTCTTGATCTGACTATATTCAATTGTCTTTTCATAAAAATTAATTGAAAAATCAATTGATTTATTGGTTAGAAATCTACTTCAAATTGTATTCCGCAAATATAAATAAAACCATATTATATTATATTATTAAACACTCAGTCTTCCTTGATCCTAGCGCTCTTGTTATCCATAAATATTGATTTGTATTTTTTTAAACACAAGTTCCAAGACGTTAATAGAACTTAGAGAAAGTAAATTAAGTATTCTAGACAGCTGTTATGGGCTAATTTTTTTTACGGAACATGAGAAGCTAGATCTAGCTAGAAAGGTATAAAAAATTTTTACCTGAGCACATTATTATATGCCTAATGTAAATGGGTATTTGTGCATTTGTTGACCTTTATTTTGCTTAATATTATTTAATTATATAATAATATTCTTTAATTTTGTGAGTAATTTAGTAATTTTGCATTGAAACACTCCCCCTTCGCGCTTTTTTCGAATTCCTCCCGCAATCGCACCTCAAAAATGCCAGATCTGGCGTGAAAAAGCTGAAATCAGTGTTGAGTACAAGGATTTCAGGAAAATCTTGTATTTTATGGCTTTTCCTATTTTCCTATTATTCTTGCTGAAATTTAGAAGCTGACTTCAAATATTAAGAACTTGGTTTTTATGTCATAAGATAATATTAAGAATTGACATATATGTACGAGCAAAACTTTTAAGTAATTCCCTAATAGGATGACGCTACGAGAGGACATTAGTGTGTGTGTGACGACTAAATTGATAAAATCAGCAAATATATGCGTAATTCAGGACATTTACTGCAGGTTATAGCAATATGAGCTGGATTACTCATAATCCAATTGGAGTCTAATTGCAATAGCGCAAAAGCCTGTCCGAGCATGCGCATATCTATTCGATATCTATTATATCTATTAGACATTATCTAAAACTATTATAATATGCGCACTATAATTACTTTCATAAATAACCAAATTAACCCACTTCTGCATATTATTGTTCTCTGATATATAAACAGATATAGATATCAAATCTGATTTCTTAATTTCTATTGTTCCAAGCAATATATAAACAAACTAATTACTTAACTGAATCAATTTGAGCATTTCCTATTTGAATGATAGAAGCTATTTTTAATCGTGGTAATAAATATTTGGCTTTCCCTTCTCAAATCCCTCGTCCATTAGCTAATTAAAGTAAATTTAGACTCGATAAAAATGAAGTTTAAATAATTTTAATCACAATATTGGCCATGTTAGTTGTAACTGTATATATGGATGCATTTGCATATTTATTTTTATATGTGTGTGCACATTGCAATATGTATGTGTGTATGTGAGGAGTGTAAGTATATCCACTCCTTTGTGATATGAGTTGACGTTAATTTGGAATTGGCTGATGTATGGAAATTGGGATTTTTCGATCGGCTGCTGCTGCTGGCAGGCCAAAAAAGAGGTATATATATATATATATATATATTTATATGCATATTCAAATATATTACATATACATATATATCTATATATATATATCGGATTAGTTATGCAGCTAGTGTAGTAAAAGTAAACAAGTCGTTCCAATTCCTGATTCAAACTGTGGGCCAGAGTCTGTCAGCCACTTGGCTTTCCTTATTTCTTGCTAGTCTTCTGATTCTTCCTGATATTGGTGATGATGCTGCGAGACATGCGGCCAGCGGCCAGACGTAGTCCGCTGCGGAACGGCTGATGCTTATAGTTCATGCAGGGCTCATCCATTAGCTCTTCGAGATCATCGTCATCTGTGGTGGTTGTGTCTGATGGTGGAAAGTCAGTTCCAGCTGCAGTTCCAGTGCCAATACCAGTTCCAGTTCCAGAACCGATGCCAATGGCAGAGCCGATGCCAGTGGCAGAGCCGATGCCAGTGCCAGTTCCAGTGGCTATGCCAGATGCCTTCATCTTCAATTCATTGCCAGCATCCAGTTTGAGTGCCCCGCCATTTTGATTAGCCTTAGCCTTAGCATTACCTTTAGCATCGGCAACGACATCAGCATCAGCATCGATGGGGACATCGACATAATTAAGCCCAGTGGCGTCCAATGATTTGCGTGTCTTCTTCGTGGTGTTCTTCGTGCAGCACCAATAGGAGGCGAGAAAGTCTAGCTCCTCGGATGACGATGAGCTCTTCAGCTCCTCCTCCGGCACGCATTCGTCAATTTTGCGCTCCGACTGGCGGACGAAGCTGTTTGTGGACATCTTCATATCGTCGGCGCTCAACGAACGCTTCACCCGCAAATGGTCACGTGTGCGGCGCAGTCCGCTCGGAGTTCTCTCGTGTCCGCCCTTCTTAACGGTCTGCTCATAGTTCTCAGCGATGCGCGACACGTGACGCTGCTTCTGGTCGAGCTTGTCCAGTTCCAGTTCCTTTTCGCGATACTGCTTGGGTGTCAGCACCAATGGCTGCCAATATAGCTCCAACGTAGACATGCGCTTCACGCCCTCATCCTCCAGAATGCTATCGTTGGTCAGCAGGCGACCCTTATAAGTCAGCCGGCTAAATGCCATCGGCACGTTCATGGTGCGTCCAATGCGCTTCTTCAAATCGGCCACGTTGCGAGAGCGGTCGGTCTCATAGATGTTCTTGCGACCGTCGCGGGTCAGAATTTGGATCTGCAACTTACGCATCTTACAAACGGCAAGTGGAATGTGCATCTAAAATGGATAGAGATTGTCGGACAGTCCACGTAGAAATGATTTGTGCAGCTGCGTTTGCTATTTAATGTAATTTTTAAATGAAAATTGTGTATTTGACTTTAGTCTGGCTCTTTAGCTAAACGAAATAAAACTCAAAGCCTATGCTGCTATATTTATTTTTGTGAAATGAATTAACTCTGACTGAGACTCAATTGTCAAATTTAGTAATCTCGTAGTGCCCCCCTCAGCTTCTGAACATATGACGATCTAATATATATATATTTAATATAAAAGGTTTTTTTTAATTAAAAATTTAACTTGAAGCAAATATTTATTTGGATGCTCTCTCTCTCTCTCTCTCTCTCTCTCTCTCTCTCTCTTTCTGCCTGTCTCTCTCAATCTCTATCTCTCTGTATCACTACCGCTCTCCCTTACTTTCTCTATAGCTCTGTCTCACTATCTCGCATTCTCTCTCTCACTTTCTCTCTACATCATTATCAACCTCTCTATAGCTGTAGCCCAGTATTGCGCCTTCTCTGTCTTTCTCTCACTCCCCCTATATCTCTCACGCTCTCTGTTTCTCTCCGTCTCTATTCACTCCATTTCTCTGTCTCTCTCTCTCTGTCTCTCCTTCTTTTGCTCAGCTTTTCTCCCGTTCACTCCATCTCCCGCGCCCTCTCTCTCTCTATCCGCCTCTTCTGCTCTCTTACGAACTGCATCCTTGCTTATAAGAAATCTACAGTTTAATTAAAATCAATTAAAAATGAAATTTAAAGAAAATTTGAATATGACACTTAAGGGACCGTAGTTATACCCGGAAGGCGCTATAACCGTAAAAGTTTGCTCATCAAAGTTTTGTCTGGGGACCAGAATTTTCATCGCTATTGCCGTACAGACGCTATAAGCGGAGTCGTTATAACCGGATTCTACTGTATTCGTCTCTGAGGAAGTGAAAACGCTTTCTTTCTTTCTGTCCCTCTCTCTCTCTCTCTCTCTCTTTCGCTCTCCCGCTTTCTCTCCCTTCTTTTCCTCTCTTACCTCTTACTCATTCTCTCTCTCTCTCTCTCGCTCTCTCACTCGCTTAGAAACCGCTTCCGCATATTGTCTCATAGTGAGTCAATCGAAAGACTGCGTTTGTGTGAAGGTGTTGATAAATTTATGCATTGGCATTGCTTCCGGTTCTAATGTGCGTGTGCGTGTGCGTGTGCGCGTGGGTATGTGTGCGAGTGTGCGTGTGCGTGTGTCAACCATCGAAGCACTGCAAATGAATGTGGCAGCCAGTCCTTAGACAAGCTACCAAATCAATGGCACCCCATAAAAATAACAAAATACACACATTTATCTGATGCTGGAGCTCGCAGAGGAAATCTTTGTTGATGCAGTTCACAGAGTTCAAGAGATTTCCAAGATTCCGATTCGATCGTTTGTATTAAATTTCTACTTTATTAGTTTAATGTGAAAAGAAACACGTACAATAATTATTTTTGCAAAAATGTGAAATGGAAATGGAAATACAATTGTAAAATGTCAACTCCAAAGTGTCACTTAGAGCAGCACATGGAAGAGAGAGCAGGCCAGCATCAGAGCCAGGGACAGCATGACGGTGATGGCACCATCGCGTGCTATCGGTATGAGGGTATCGTTGGCCAGCAGGGCATTGCAGCCGTGTCCCTCGCAGGTGTAGCAATTGCCATCGATGACGCACTGCTTATTGGCCTGGGCCGAGCTGAGGCAGCCGCGCTTGAACGCCCCCTCGCCAGTGCGTCCGTTGTAGCGAATGTAGCACTTGTCACCGAGCTTATAGGTTGGACAGACCTTGCTGTACGCATGATTCTCGATGGCGCAGCTCGAATTGATCGAATCACCGGAGCATTGCAGGCACTTGGGGCGATATTGTGGGAAAATCAAACGGTTGCAGCCCTCATTCGCTGAGCAGACGAGACACTCCAACTCATTGTTGCACGAGTTCAATGTGTTGTTGTCCAGTTCGCTGGAGCAGCCACGAATCGTATATCCATCTAAGCCAAGACGTTCAATTGTTATTGTTATTTAGTTGCACTTTAGCAATTAATCATTCAATTTAACTGCACTGACTACATACTTAAGACGCGTGTATAGCAGAGGCTATTATTGGTAGGGCAATCCTTGGCCAAAATGCTCAATGGCTGTGTGGCGCATCGCTCTTCAGTCTTCGAATGGCATTGCACGCAGGCATCTGTACAGAAAGACAAGTTTAAACACATCGACATACATATAAATTAATTCGAATTTCATAAAACACTTCATACGCGAATAGTATTTTATCGAAATGCTTGCCACTCGCCCATATGGCGGGCTGGACGACAATATAACTGTAATTCAATTGCAAGTCTCAGTTGCCAGATCCTTTTATTTTTTGTCGCCCCTGCCAGACATGCGCAATTCGAATACAGGCAAGTAAACTGTGATCTGATTAACGTCCACAATTGATAATTATGACACAATTCTCTTATCATGGGTAAATGGCAACGTCTATTTATAAGTGTGCATATGTGTGTGTTTACCGTCATATATGTACATATGTACATATGTATAAGCGATTGAGTTATTCAGTTCTTTCCGTAAATTAAGAAAGGCGTCGTATGACTAACCGTGTAAATCGATTATAAAAGGATTCCGTTTGAGCTCATTTATAAACACCTATATACATATATGATGTATACATACATTTTATTTATTCATATATAAATATATATGTATATATTTTTTTTAAATCCACTGCAATGTCTACGTTAAATACTAACAAAAAAAAAAAAAAAAAAAAAGAAATAAATAAAGAAAAAAAATAGATCGAACGCATATACACATATTATAGCCTTTAACCTGTTTCCATGAAAGATAAAGAGAGCTACAGATAAGCTTCGCATATGTATGTGGTGACAATTGGTGACCATGTATATTTCGGTATTACACAAAATCTAACAACAGGTGTGCAAGCATACAACCCATGCGATACATTTATACCAATATACATCTATCTTAAATCGGCTTAATTTATATATCTGTATATAATACATAGATGTATATCTCCAGAAGTGTTTGCCGGCTATTACATTTTCTATATTAACTGAACTCACACATGCATACATATATATATGTATATGCATACTATTGAAACTCAAACTTGTGATACGATAAGCAATGAGCTTACGTACGTACTATATATAAATGGATAAGATAGAATATAATAAGGAAAAAAGAACTTCGACTACCAATCTTACATAAGACACATATTCCACACATTAATATATACATGTACATATATTAAGGCACAATGAAAAAAAAAAAAAAAAAAAAAAAAAAAAAAAACTGAAGAAATAAAATAATTTAAACAGTTTTTACCACTGTGGACGTAAGCCAAAAAGGCGCATGCAGCAATGATCAGCATATAGAACTTCATTTCGAGTATTTTTAAGTCTTGGACACAATTATTTGCTATAGATACTAATTTAATATTATTGTGTATACGATCGAGTCGATATTGGCGACACTGCACTTGACACGTACGCTTTGAAGTCTACAAATAAACTAAAAGCTAGAGTAACGGACGCAAATATACATAGTAAAATTCCACAGAACAGTTACATATCGGAATGTTAATAACAGTAGTAGATTTACTGAGCGACACCGTAGCTCTCATCGATCACTTGATGGTAGTCCATTAGCGATAAAATTTTAATTTTTAAAATATAGTTACTCAACATTTGATTTAGTTAATACAAGGGCTGCTAAGTATTGATTGCATTCACCTAAAATAGTGCAAATCTCGACTTGTACTTTTTTTAAATTTGTTTCAAATTTAAATGGCAGACAAAAGCTGTTTGTTGTATCGATAACCTGTTTAAAACAAATCCTTTATATATTGTATTAATAAAGTAATTTCTAGTCGCAATTTCTTTGAAATAATTAGCAATCTAAGCCAAGAAAGCTGATTTACTTCTGGGATGGTTATTAAATGGATAAATATGCACTTATGAAATATGAATGGTATCCCGCAAACATTCTTATGTAGATTTTCTAACTATCGATATATCGCACTGGAAGTGCTATAGTGCTGCCACATAATCTAAAGAAACATATGTAATCAGATGGCAATTGGACCCATGCATATTGGAATATAAGGATTGCATTTGCGCAAACGCTTAACTGGGTTTAATGATTTCAACAGAAGCTGTATTAGTTGAAAGTGCATCGAGGACATCAGTCACAGCATGACATTGATAGTGTGCATCTGCGATTATTGGCAACGCCGTCATTACTACAATCGACAGTCCATACAGGCAGCAGGCGGCACTGATGCTGACAAGAGCCAGAAAAAATCTGTTCGTCGGCTACAATTACAGCTAGATGCCATCACTGGCAACTATTGGCTGCGCGAACTGCTTCAGCAGAGGGCGCTGCGCGAGCGACTGCAGACAGAGCATAATGTGCAGCTAATATGGCTGTCCTTCCATCCGCCAGAGCGCGACACCATCGACTATAAATGGGCAGACATGCTAGCGCATACAATATGGGAACATATCGAGATGGAGCATCTAATGTCCTGGCTCTCCACGCTAGGCGGCGGCTTCTCAGCCCTGGGCGAACAATTCGAGCGCTGTGTAAGTGCAAAAATGTTCAAAGTGCAACAGAATGCAGAAGATTAACCGAAAATATAAAAAAAAAAACAAAACAAAACTATGCAAATTATAGGCCCAGACAGCGGGAAAGATATCACTGCAGCAGCTAACGATTGGTCTGCGAGTCGGCGATCCATTTCTGCAGGCGCGTTGCAAGCTCTACTACAGCATTTCCTTAATCCAGCGAGGCCAGCTGCGCAAGGCCAAGCAATTGATTCGCGCCCAATATCAGTTCGCGAAGCAGCACGAGGAGCACGATCACCGATTGGTGCGCATGTGCTTGGGCATTTGGCTGCGATTGCGCTACGAGTACGAGGAGCGGAGGAAGCGGAGACTAGCTATAAAGGATCAGTCGTAATTCTCTCGAAGAGATTCATTAGAAGACTAAGCATAAAATGAAAGCATGGTTTACTGTTAGTTGTTAAGATACAAAATATACTATTTACATATTCTATAATAATATATATATATATATATGAATACATATATATATCTGTTTGGATTTTTGTATAGGTATATATATTTATATACATATGTATGTATATAATTCTTTATTTGTATGTATGTATATGTATATGTACGTATAAAATGCGATTTAACATTCCAACAGCGCGTGGTCGGCACCAATTCACGCTAAACTCTTCTCTTCCTCTCTGTTCTTCGTCACCATTTGAAAAAACATTACCATTTTTTACTTACAACTACACAGTTTTCTTTTCTATGCGTGTGCTAGGATTATATATGTAGAGTAAAATATGCTACCGAAAACAATTGACGTCACATGTGTGTGTGTGTGTTTGTGTATATGTCTCTCTATATAAGTTTTATCTAATGTGAGCCACTTGATGAATATCAGCTGAGAGAAGCCTATACGCATGCGCTATATACATGCATATATATAAATAATAAAAAAAAATGTATATATATATGAAATATATATATAGAAATCTGGCTAAAGTTTTAAGTTAGATTATCGCCGTAACTGAACATAGAATTTAAAGTTTTTTTTGTGGATATTGCTTGCAGTGCCAAATGGTTGTTATTGTTATTATTTCCATGCTTGTCCCCCTCTAAAGCTTCATTCCATGCGACTTATTGCGCCAATGTGCCCATGGGATCCCAGGCGGGCAGCACAATGGGATCCATGTCAAATACGCGCATCACATCTTCGGGCACATATTTCTTATCGACGACCACCTCGAAGCCGAACTCCCTAAACCAATCGGCGCACATGACCAGATAGCCCTTCTCGCCACGATCCTCGCCCCAGGAGTTCTCCACGCGCAACTTCTGAGCAACGCCATTTTTCTGCAACATAAACACAATGATGCTTACAATCATATCATATATACATGCAAATGAATGGCGCTTACATCCACAGAGACGGCTGTGAATACCATGGCGTGGGTCATGGCCGATTCACCATAGATGAGACGATCCGCCTTCGAAAATGTTGTTTGTATGTCAATGTCGAAGACCAGCTTGAAATCGTGGCTGCATCCATCGAAACGAACGAGACGGCAAGTGCAGAGCACATGGGTAAGAGAGAGAAGGGTATAGTTGCTGGAAATACATATTTACACACACACACACTTACACATCAACATCCTCGATACCTTGCTTGGAGGCGAAACGCTTGCTAACCTCGCAACCAAACCAGACTGCTTCTCCAGCCTTCAGCGATTTGGTCACCATGGCCAATAGGAGATCGACATTTTGATTGTTGTAAAGCACCGGACGACCACCGACAACATTGCCCAGACAATCGACCGTATAGACCTGGTCGTAGCTGCTCGTTGGACGTGGATCGGTGACCAGGCACACCTTGTCCTCGACATTGAAATGCGGCTTCACATAGCGCTCGTAAAACTCCAGCGAACTGATGGGTCCAATGGACTGATAGTTCTTCGACTTATCATAGTACTCCCAGGTGAACGTCTCGGAGGGAATGCCCAGGCAAATGCCAACCACCTTGTAGATCTCCGACATTTGCTCTTGAATCTTGCAGGTGATCTCCTCATCACTGGGCTGCTTCTCCAACAGAACACGCAAGTGCCTCGCATATTCGCGCAGCTGTAAGGGATCAAGATCAGGGAATGAATTTTAGTTTGTTTTTTCTTTTTTTTTCCTTTATTGTGATTCACGAATCGGTAGTCAGCCGACTTACCTTGCTCTTCAGTATGGCATTCATTCGTATGCTGGACTCGCAGCTAAAGCTCTCCGGAAAGCATTTCTTTGGCATCAGACCATGTTTGGTTATCAGATTGACCAGCATGTGCCACTGGCCTCCATCAGAGGTTGGATCGAGCAACAGGAACGACACCAGACGGCCGTCGACTTTCTCGCCGCGCTTTGCCGTCTTCACGATGTTGTTGAGGAAATAGTTGCAACGCTCGATTTTGTCCCAGTAGAAGAGGAACGCCTGCGAGAACTCGAACTCATCCAGATTGTAGTTCTTCATGAAGGGCAGGCGTATACAATTAAGGGCGGCAAACAGCCAGCAGCGACCGGAGCTGCGCTGATTGGTGACCGGTTTGCCCTCCGTTTCCACCTTATAGTTGAACACATGATTGGTCGTCTCCAGCGTCTTGCGGGACAGGCACACATCGAACGGATCCACACGGGAGCAAACGTTCTGGGCAAGCAGATTCTTGGGTTCGCTGTAGAAATTCTCGCGCCACTTGCTCAACAGGTCCGGCGTAATGGCACTCTGGTTCCCATCATCCTTTGACCCGAACATCTTGCCGTCGCTGGCGTTGTTGTTGCTGCCATTGCCGCCACCTTGGATAATATCGTTAGCTGCAAGTATATTGGTACTACTCGTAGTGCTTGTGGAAAACAATCCAGCTGTTTCTATAGTCTGCGTTGCACCTGCACACGTAGCTGCAGTTGCAGGCGCAGGTACATTTGCCATCTGCGAGAGCTTCATTGCGCGTGCAAGCCGATACACCACAAATTTGTTATACTCTGATACAATTAAAAAACTTCTGTCACATATTTAACAATTACTATGAAGCTGTCGAATACATACGCTTGTACATAGTTCTAGGATCTGTGGGCGTAATCTATCACAGCTAGCTATTATTGAAAACAAAATACATATATAAAAGCCACACAGATATACAAAATATTTGTATATATTAAAAGACTATCGGTTTAAGCATAATAGTTCGATAAACTTCGTTTTTTTTTTTTTTTTTTGGTGGCTTACGTTCATCGATGCTATTCCCGCAATTTTGAAGATGAATGGAAATTATTTAAAATTATTATTAAATTTGATATAATAAATATTTAACTGACACTGTGTTTTGTTTCAATTTCAGCAACGTATTTATTTCCTTTATATATATTAAATACAAAATGCAAATAAATTACAAGCAGTTAATTATTTTTTGTTTGTCTTGAATGCAAAATAAATCAATCCATGCGCCCCATCTTTTCTGAAGACCCACAAGGAGAGTGATTTTTTCTCTTGGTATTTTCTGCTCATATTAAACAATAAACTTGACCATTCCATGCAGTTGCTTTTTAAATTTGAAATATTAAATCTATAATTTTGACAAGAGAAAGTTTAAATTTACTATCATATCAAACAGAAAATTCATGCCAAAATTATTTTTTCTTTAATATATCGCAAATATTCGCATACGAAAATATCGTGCTGTTAATTAAAGTACCAATATTCGATTCATCGATATGTTACCAATATTGCATATATTATTCGTTTTTTTTTTTTTTTTTTTTTTTTTTTTTTTGTAGATCATTTACGCACGTACTTATGCAACGCATCTACACACATACGCACTCACATGCATATGTAAAGTATTTGTATATATCCATATATACGAATGTGTGTAAATTAGAAAATCTGATCGACAACTGTGATGTATTCTTTTGTGCACAGTGGGAACGGGTCTGGTGGGCGTGGTCGTCTAAACAAAGCACTTGTGTGCAGCGCATAACTCAAAATTTAATTGCGCGCACTGCCAGCTGCTGGAGCTTATTAACTGTGACTTTATTACTGTGTACACATGTATGCGTGCGTGTGTGTTTAAGTGCATATGCATTTGTGAGTTGCACTTCGAAACAATGAATGTACACTTTGTTGTAAGAAAAGCTGCGCAAAATAATTCTCCCCCATCCCGTAGCTAATTTCATATACTTTCATCTAAGTACCGTTGCGGGTGCATATGTGTGTGTGTGCTATTAAAAAACAGACTTTGGAAATACTGTAAAACAAAGTAAATAGTGAGGAACGCAAAAATGTTGCGACTTTTGATAAGAACACATATATGTATGCATACACATGTATTGTATATAGGTGTCTGAGCAATAATCGTATAAGACTTAATGCAGAAATCTTTGAAAAACTTTATCTCGACTGAGATGACTTGAGCAACAGCGCTAACCGCAGTTACGGATGAAGCGATGATGCAGAGTGCAATTAAACCAGTTTAACGGCACATACACAAACACAATCACACACATAGATCCACACATACACACACAGCTGTTGGGGAACTGAAGGCAGCCGAAGGAGGGCAAAATGCCGTTTTAAACTTTCGCGCAAGCCGGCATGCTGCTCGCTGCTGCCTGGCATAAATCTAAACAAACCAACAGAAAAGGGTTTAAAAAAAAAAAAATATAAAAAAAAATGTATATGTATGTATATAAGCAGCAGCAGCAGCAAACGGAAAACTTGTTTTTGCTCAGCTTTTGTAAGAGTGAGTCAAGTGGTGTGCCACTGTTTGTATGTGTGGGGGTACAAAGGCAAAGAGCAAACCAGCAAAAACAAACAAATTTGGGTGAAATTTTACTTTCGTTGTCGTTGCTGCCGTATTGGGGCGTCAGCAAGCTGTTTCGTGCTCGCTTCCGCACAAAGCGGAACGGGGGGAACGGAATTGATGAGCGATGCCGTTGCCTGCACCAGAACCAAAAGCAACTACAACGACAGCAACATTTTTCTTGGTCTCTCGCTATCTCTTGCACTGCTGCTGCTGCTACTGCTGTTGCTGTAGGCAATTATTTCATTTTTTATTTTTTACAAATTATTGTAGTTCTCATAGGTCATTCATTTCACTTACACATTGTGGGAGATTTTTTTTTCTTTCTTATTAACGTTGATAATTGGTTGGCGCTTGACTCGGCTGCAATCTTGACTGCACCTTACACTTTTTATTTAAATTTATTTCACGTTTTGGTAATGTGTACAGTGCAAGCAACTATTATGTACTGTTAATTTTGCTCTATTTAGTTGCTATTTTTATTTATTGATGAGGAAAATGAAAATGATAATGTTTGGCTTTGGCCCGAAACACGAAACAGAATCCAAGAGACAAACGCGAAAGTATCGATGCCACGATAACGACGACAATGCTGCCAGATCACAGTTTCCAAGTGTGAAATGTATCGATACATCGATATATGAAATAGCAATTAATTGGTATATTTTGCAGCTTCCTGCTGCCTGTTGTTGCTTTGTCGCGCTGTTGTTGCTGCCTGCGCTGACTGAATTGTGAGCAGGTCGCGAATTTTGAAATCGCTCCATTCACGCTGCTCGCAAACGAGGGGAAAAAAGCAGCGAAATAAAAATAAATAAATAAATAAATCCATAGCACATACATATCCACTCATATGTATATTCCTAACGTGCATGCCAAATAACGAATCTCGATCAAGTGTTGGTCCGAGGCTCTGCCAAGATGAGCGCCAATAGCAACGACAACTTATGCGAGGACATCTCATTGTTGAAGTCCTACATAGAATATTTTGATGTGCTACCGTTGGAGCTCAGGAACGACATCATCTACTGTCAACGAGCATTGCGCGACTTTCTCAAAGTGCACGGGGTGAGTAACAGCAAAAATCTGAAAATCAAGCAAGCAAAAAAAAACGAGAGTAGAAGAAATGAAGACCATGAATATGTAAAGCAACCTGTGTGACGACCGTTGGTTAACTTCCACTTCTATTCTGTTCCGTTCCGATATCTTCTCAAATCCCACTCCATGCCGGATGGATTGCAGCTGGTGTCCGATGTGTTCAAGGAGCAGGCCGATGCGGTGAGTAGCCCAATTCCATAACTGTCCTGCATTACGCATACCATCTATTATTTATATATCTATATGTGTATGTATGTATTGTCTGTATGTATGCGATTATGCATATGTGTGTATGTACATTTTCTTTGTTTGGAGTAACATAATAAATAATGTGCAATGAAAGCCAATAAATGATATCGCATATATAGAGAGACAGTGTTGCCACCTTTAATTAGTCCACACATCGCACTTGTCCAAGTAGCTCCCGTAACCCAAATACTTCTGCGGCTGTTGCTGGTGCTGCTGCCCTATCCTCATTTCTTAAATTATTCACAATTTGGCAATGCACCGTTTCACTCCATTAGAGATGGGTGCGTGTCAAGAGCACTGAAATAATTATTACTTAGATATGTATGTTCATTGAGTGCACACATACATAGATATGTTCCAGTTATGTATGTATGTATTTAGTGGGAGTTGTTTATTTGTATTCCCTATATTATGTATATATATATATATATATATATATATATATATATCTGTTGCATGCAAAAATGTAGAATGTGTATATCCCCGATATTTGCTGATCGTTAAATAAACAAAAACGTTCTATGAAAAATTATGCACAAAGCGGAGCAGGAAGAAGCAGCAGAATCTGCTGTCGCTTAAAGTGCGCAACGGAATGTAAGTACATACATATGTACCATATATGTATATGTATGTATGTACATATGTGCGTGTCTGCGCTATGCGTGTGTTTGTATATACATACATATGTATGTATGCATATATAATGAAGTAAGATTATATACACATATTTATGTACCTATGCATTCATACATACATACGTACATATGTAAATATGCCACGGCTGCTACCCTGTATAAAACCTTTTATTTAAAGCTCCTTTTTTATTTGCATACAATTATTTTTCATACGACATTTGCGTAATTCGCATCGTTTCTCTACTAATTTGTTTGTCGTGAAACAAGAATTTGAGGCACGTGCGACGACACGACACACGGCATTCAACTCTGTTTTTTTCACCTTCGTTGTTGTTGTTGTTGTTTTATGTCACTTAGTCATAGTCATAGCCATGATGATGATGATTGTCCAATAATTTGTTGTATTGAATAACCGCATTTTGCAGGATCCGGTGCAGATGCGGCGCATCCTCGACGAGCTGGAGTCGGAAGTATACGAGATAAACGCTGAGCAACAATGGCTGATGATGCGCCTGGAAAAGCAGCTAGAGTCGCTATACAAAAAGCTGGCGGCGAACAATATACGAATTTTACCTGACCTAGGCAACGAGTACATCTCCAGCCTGATCGTGCCTTTCGTTGGCGATACCAACTACAAAATCTATCCGAAATCTGTGCTGTGTCGCGACACCGAAGAGATGCTTATACGAAAGCATTTCCTCATCTCGCACGACGACGACGGTGGCATTGAGCCGCTCAAGCTTAGCGAACTGGACGACAATGTGCCGCTGTTGCTGGTGAATGCACTGACTGCCACGCCTACTGCCAAGCCCACTGCCACCATCACTGCCCCAGACATCGTCCAGGCCTCGACCAGCAGCGGAGCACAGATGATGATTGAAAAGAACGATTTGGGTGATAACATAATGAGGGCATCGTCATCGCTATCGCCAGCGCCAGCGAAGCTCCAGCCTGAGTTGTTGCCTGTGCTGACCAAAAAGGACGATCCGCGTTCGCTGCTGATACCGCGTAACGCCCAAACATCCGATGTTCAGCCTGAGAAGTTCGCAGAGTCGGCGTCGTCATTGACGCCACCACCACCACCTCCGCCCCCACCCCCGCCGCTGGTGGCCGCCAAGCAGCGGGCGTCCCGAGCAGATGCCAAGCAGGCGAACAAAACGACCTCACCGCCGCCGCTGGCGCCCATCACCAAGCCGCCAATCGGCACTGACTTCGAGGTTGTGGCCCAGAGTAGAATGAATTTGCGCCAGGCGCTGCGCCGCGCTCGCAAGACCAAACAACAACCGCGACAAATCGACGAGGAGGATGTCGTTGTGCTGCCCGTAGACAAGGTGACGACGGAGAGCACTCCGCCACCCAGCGTCGCGGTGTCCAAAGCGAAGGCGGGCAAAGCGATAGAAATAACTGCTACCCCAGTTGTCCTGGCCACAGTACACGCAACGACGAATAAGAAGTCAGCGCCATCGGTGTCCAGTAAACAGTATAAGACGCGCAATGCGCACGGGGTTGGACGTAAGCCGACGTCGAATCCATCAGCAGCGCAAGTGGCCGCACAGCAGGCGGCAGCTGCAGCAGCAGCAGCAGCGGCAGCAACAACGGCAGCAACAGCAGCAGCAACAGCAGCCGCTGCAGCGGCAGCAACTGCGGGCTCGTCCGGTTCTTCTGATGATTCGCATCACGAACTGGAGCTGGAGCAGCAGCGTCTGTGCGCCTCGGCGGCACAGTGGCGCGATGAGCCGCGTGAGACCCGGGTCCTGCCCTCGGAATACGGGCGGGAGCATTTCCTTGGCCTCTTCGGGCTCTACACACACGAGATGGTCAAGAAACTGTGCCAGCGCCACTCGAAGCGCAAACGTCGAACCGTTCAGAATGCCAGCGGCGTTGTCTTTCACTATGGCCAGCAGCTGGCCGCCTTCGATACGGTGCGTCAGAAGAAACTAAAGGATAAGCCGGAGTTTCTGCTGTCGCCCAAGGATAAGCGACTTCAGGCCAAAAAGGCCCACAAGGCCAACGCGGCAGCCGCGGCGGCTACCAATCGGAAGAGCAAGAGTAAAACGCCCGAAAAGCTGGAAGACGTGGGCAGCAGTCAGCCGGACGTCGGCAAACAGAAATGCAAGGAATGCAAGAAACGAGGTGGTAAGTCCAAATCTCAAAATATGGACGTCCTCTGTGCTCGTAAGCTGTTCATGATGCATTACCATATACAACTTGCATGCGATTAATCTATTCTTCTAATATACTTTTGTGTAGAAAATCTGCAGAGCTGTCTGAGTTGCCATGGGGTTTATCATATGGATTGTCACGAGGATGCCAAAGGAAAGCCGCAGTCGAGCAATCGCTGTCCGCAGTGCTTGCGTGACTGGAACTTGTCGGGCAGGATAAAGGTAGCGGCTTCGTCCTAGTGCTAAGATTTGTTGTTTTTGCTCCACTGGGAGCATTCTGGCCTTTTGTTGTACAATGTAACCTGACCGTTGAATCCTAAAATATGTCTGTACATATATATATATATATATATATATATATATATATATATATATATATATATTTTTTTTTTTTTTTTTTTTTTTGCTTTTATCTTGTTTATTTTCATCTCTTACTTTTTTTGTATTCAAAATTACATTTAAGCTTAAATATAGAATATAAGTATATTCAATTTTAGAATGAATAGAGTAAATATTTATGTTAAAACCTTTTTTCTTGGTATGCACAGAAATTGAGAATGGGATTTATGTACATACATACTTACATGCATACATGTATCTACAAACTATGTTGTCTTATTTAATAAACAAACAAGAAAAATATGCATTTATGTGTTTACTTTTGATTGGGTAACTATTAACCGTTAATTAATTGGAGTGCATTGAGTCAAGGATGGCACAGCAGGCTCCTTTTTTAGGAACTTAACGAAACTCGTTTTTAAACGATATTATTCCAAATTTAAAAATCGGGAATAGGATAGATTTGTTAAATTAAAAGAACACATACTGAATGATTATTATTTAAACTGTAAATTAACTTTTACAATGCCTACACGAGTATTTATTGCTCTTTCACTTGGAATTGTACTTGTGACAGAATGATTTGACAGCTATTGACAGATGTAGTAATTGACATTAATAGGCGGTTTAATTCAAAACCATACATTCAAAATGTATCATTTAATTTATTTAACGTATAGCCGTAATCGCCATTACTGTGTTTTTGTTGTTTTTAATTATATTTTAAGTGCTGCCGGCAGCATGAATTTATATCGGCATGAATATCAACGGCCGTCCCTTATGAGCGCCAATGCCTTTGCCCATGCGTTTTGTATGGCCTGGCAACTCTGGTAAATGATACCGCTAAAATTTCAATGTTCCGTTAAGTCAGATGAATGAGTTTGACTTTGTCAATTGTAATCGAATCTGGTATGCTTTTTCACGACGAAGTTTGCCAATCAGTGATAATCGAGCAGCTCTATTTGTTGTCAAAGGAACTCTTTCAGAATCATACTGTCATGAGCCAATATTCGAACAAGAACTTAATAATGGAGACGGAGGGAGAAGAGCACCTAGAGATACTGCACAATTTTGAGGACTTTGAAGATATGATGCAGGACCTCACGATGCCAATGGCTAAAGAGCTTTTCATGGCCCATCTTGGCCTGAGTAAACTTACTAGCACATCGGATACGCAAAGCAACAGCAGCAGCTACTACCTCGTAAGTTCCCAAGAGTCCAAACGCATTTCGAGCGAGGAAAAGACCAAGTGTCACGTAAGTGAATTGTTTGATTTGGGTAATTTGTAAAATACAATTTTTTAATTGTCGGCCTGTTTCTGTAGCATATTGAGGAAGTGCAGCATCAAGTGGAGCAAGGAGCCAAAGAGCGTGAGATACTACTGCAGACGCCGCGCGAGGAGCCGCTGCACAAGATGATTCGCTGGCTACTGGATTTGCCGCAGCGCTGTGATCTCACGCGCTTGTCCTTATCAGCGCTGCGTTGCAACGAATGCCATCTGTGCGAGGGCGTCGAGTATCCGTGCACCCATTGCGGCCAGCAGTTCCATCAGGAGTGCCATGGCGATCAAGGCAAACTCAAGCCCCATCGCCTATGTCCAACCTGTACACGCAATAATATCGAGTTCGTGGACCGATAAATATAATATCCGTGCAACCGTTGTGGCCAGCAGCTCCAGCGGGAGTGCCATGTCGATCAAGACAGACTAAGCCCCATAGGCTGTGTGCCCGTCCTGTACACGGAATCTTATCGAGTTCTTGGACTGATCATTTTAATATTCAATATTGATTAACATTTAATGTCGAAATAATACAATTACACAAATATTTTGTTAACAATCATGTTGAACACTATGGAGGTCGGGGTCAGAAGCAGCAGCAGATGATGCTGACGCCAACGGCCATCGGTGCCATTGCACAAATCGCCCTGACAGAAGCACATATAAACTTTCTTATAGTTGTAGATGGTATCTGCACAGCGATCTATATTGTCATCTGGTCCGCGCTGCACGCACATGCGCTGTATGGCCGTATCGTAGTCTGGAGATAAGAAATTCAAATTATTATTGTATTAAGATTATAGGATATAGTTTATATATAACTATATCTAGAGGTCTTACCATCTAAAGCATAGGGTCCGCCGCCCTCAATCACTTTGCCGCACCAGCCGCTGGCACAGGGTATAGCCGAGAGGCCGGGCTCGTTGTCCACGTCTGTTGCATTGAATGTAAACGGATCCTTGCAGCTGCCTAGCTCACCACGGGAGCGACACTGATAGCACCGACGCAGAAGAGCTGTCATTGAGTAGCAGTAAAAGAGAGATAGAGATAAAGCGAGCGAATAAGACACACAAAGAGACAGTTACGAGGTTATTCCATTTCTTGTAGTGCATTACGCACCCGCACATACACATGCGCAGTAAGAGTTACTATTACAGTTACGCTGCGCGCATATATGTATGCAAGTGCGTGCGTATGTTTAACAAAAGACTTTAATAGCAAACTTTCTTGTTAATTAGACCTACCATCGATTTGTGGAGCATTGCTGGCGATTATAGCAAATATCACAGTTAGTATGAACACAGACGATTGCATTTTGGAAAAAGAACTTAAACTTAATGAGTATTCGAATTGCGTTCAAGTCGTTTAAAATAGTGAGAGTAAGTTACTGTTGTATATTTGTTGTTGTTGTTGTTGTTTCTGAACGAAAATCACAGGCCTGCCACTGCGCACACAAAATAAGTCGGTTGAGAAAATGCAACAGTGTTTTCAGAGTTGCCAGACCTCAATTTCGCTTTCGTTTGACAACACTAAACACAATTTTTCCTATTATAGCACTGTGTGTACACACTGTTCTAGTTTCGCTGTATTATTTCAGCGAAAAATTCATCATCTTAATATCGGGCGTATATTTTTGTTGTTATTTTTTATTCAATAAAAACTCAAAACAAAGTAACGAACGTCAGATGCAGCAATTCAGACGCTAAACAACAAATTTAGTGCCACGGATCACATTTACTAGCGGAGTGCACAAAAATAACTCGAGTAAAAGCTGCAGTACGTACGAAAAAAGAGTACAAAAAATAAAAGAAACAACAGAGCAACGTAAAATTTTGCAAATTGTTCATAGAGACAAAACGACGGACAGTCAGTCAGTCAGCCAAGCAGAGAGGCGGCACCAGAAGCAGCAGCAAACGCAGCAGCAGCAGAACAGCGTAATAAAACAATCTGCAACAATAAAATATTTAAATAGACATAATCTGCGCGTTTGTCATTCAGTCAAATCGCGAAGTCGGCGTCGACGTCGCAGCAGCTGGCGCTGCTGTTGTTGCTGCTCTGCTCTGCTCTGCTGCTGCCCTGCTGTAACGCAACCATAAACGCAAACAAAACGGAGTAGCGGAAGCGTCGCTGCTGGCGTAGGCAGACACCTTGCAACTGCAGTCGCTGTCCGCTGTCCGCACTCCGTTGTCTTTCAAGTTCAATGCGATTCGGTTTCAGCTTTTTTTTTATTGTTTGTGTTGTCATTACTGTTGTGTGCGTGTGTGTGCGCTGGTCTAACGCTTTCCGTGCATCCTGCAGCGGCTGCCCCCACTGACTGATTGACCCAAGGAACAGGCAACAACAGCAACAGCAACCGAGAGGCCAAGAGGTCGCCAGGAGCGCTATGGCATTGGACAGCGTCACGCAAACGATGACGGGCAGCAATGCGCTGACATCATCCTTTACGACGAAGAAGAAGGAAGCCGCCGCCGCCGACAAGGAAAACCTCTGGTGAGTTGAGCTGAGTAAGAATCTATAAATCTATGTGTATGTGTGTGTGTGTGAGTGTGTAGGGACTGAGACATATGACGAGCAAATTGCGCTTGGCCTAAACAGCTGCTATTGGCTAAGAATTTTATTTATTTATTTTTTTTATATAATATATTTGTTATTTATTTTTGTTTTTAAATTTAATTTTTCTATTTATTTATTTTTATTTTTTTGTTATTTATTTTTATTTAATTTTGTTGCATTTATTTATTTATTATTTTACTTTCTTTAGCTGACGTTTGCAATATATTTTTTTTGGCAACTGCTATCTTGCTTTTACTCCCTATCTGTGTCGTCTATGTGTGTGTGTGCTTGTGTGTGTGAGCAGCCGGCTGCAATTGCCACCTGCCACACCCACAACACTTGGAGTGGGGGCTGGCGAGGCATAAAAAGCAGCTGATTTTATGCCGCTCTTAAATTTAGTGCATGTTGTCATTTTGTGCCATGATTCGCCTAACCTCAAACCACGTTTGGCTCACACACACACACACCTGCACGCACATGCGCATTATATATGTGTATGTGTTTGTATTTTGGCAAATTTTCTCTTGTGCCAAATTTGTAATAGATTTGTGGCAAAAACACAGACTAAATGCTTAAAACAACAATACTGACATACAATATATGTATGTATGTGTGTGTGAAAGAGTGCGGGAGCGAGAGAGGGTGAGCGTGAACTAGCGTATGATTCATAAAACTGCTAAATCGAGGGCAGCGTCGCCGGCTGCGCAGTCGACAGCGCGCACCTTTTGCTTTATCAATTTTTGTTATGCCTAATAGGCAAGGTACACACACTTAAACAAACATACATACACGCACACATGCAAAGCCATAAGCCGAGCTATCGATAGTTCGACTCCATTAAGACTGTTGACAATCCAATTGGAATTTGCATTGCCCAATGAACGAAGACTAGCTTTAACTCAGCTCTATGCGTGTGAGTGTGTGAGTGTGCGAGCGCGTGTGCGTCTGCATGTGTGTATATGTGTGTGTTTGTGTGCGATTTGGTGATGTTGTCATCGTTTAAATATGTACATGTTGCTCACCGTCAGCCGTTAGGAGGCGCGCATGTGCAAAACACCTTTTGACGCAGATCGATTTAGAATGCTTCGGAAAACATGTGTAAGACTCCAATTAGATTAGCGGGAAACGATAAAACCATCTGTAATTTATTTCTAGAAATAAGAATCAATACCTCGTTAATGTGTGGTTTGCACAAAACATATTGCACTTATCCAAATAGGTATATTTTCATAAAAAGCCCGTATTTTGTTTCCCACTCAAGCTTAACGTCTAGAATTTCAAATGCTTAATTGAAAGAAATTTAATTCTCAATTGATATTTTATTGCGAATTTGGTCGCGTTGGTTAATAGTCGTTGTTGCACCATTAATAGTAACCAATTAATGTTAATTAACTAAGGATTAACTAATTTTCGCATATCAAAATTTGGGTTACATTTATATTTGCTTAAGCATATAGTTTATAATTGTATTTAGCTGTCGATAAATCTTTGAGTATCCATAGTCAATTGGTCTTTGCTATATTCCAGCAGTTATCAATCGATTTACGAGTCTTGTTTATAGGTATTAACAGTTTCAAATACTTGACCTAGTTTTCTTTTCGATATGTACTTATTGATATATGTATATATATGTTTATTTAACATTTACTAGCGTTATTTATCGATATTTCTATATTGATCTTATAGTTTTCCTTTCAGTTATCAGCAATTCCAAATCGATATTTATCGATATCCGTATATATTTGTATATTAGTTAATATGAGTAAATGTTTTACATTTTATCGATGAAGACATCGTCGTTATCGTTGTCGTTGTCATCGTTATCGATGTGCGTCGCCTGCCGTTGCTGCTTATCGAAATTGTTCTGAATTCGCTCCAACAAATCGGTAGCAACAAGTGCAAAATCGTCCCACAAAGCATCTGGAGCCCCATCAATCTCCAATTCCGTATCCGGCTCCGGCTGACGCTCTTTTCTCGATTCCTGTTCCTCCTCCGGCTCATCGTCGTTGGCCTCGTCGCCATTCGTCAAGCGCTCCTCATCCAAATAGTCGGCCAACAGATCGCTGACCTCGTCGAGAATGCTGCCGCTACGGCACAGGGCTGTCGCGCATTGGGCATCGATCAGCAGATTCCACATGGCTTGGCACACGATGTTCGCGAGAAACCAATCCTCCTGCTCCAGAGCGCCGCGCAGCAGCAGCGCCAGCAACTCGGCGCCACGTAACTGCAAAAACGGAGCCCGCTGCTCGCCGTCGCCCAGCAGATTGACGAGCACTCCAATGGCGCAGGTGCGCAGCTCGTAGTCCCGGCCGTTCGCCTGCCGCGTCAGCTGCTGCACGATCAGAGGCAAGCCGCCGCCGGCACAGAAACAGCGGCGCGCCAGCTCGTTGCGCGTCAGATTGCCCAGGACACGGGCCAGCTCCACCTTGGTTGACACGTACTGCGACTGGCAGCGCTTGAGCGTTTGAGCCAATGCAGTGGACAGCTCGGCAATGAGACTCTGCAGCGAACCGGGCGCTGGAACGACATCTGGAGCTGGAGTAGTCGTGGTCGTGGCTGCTGGCGATGTGGTCTGGTTGTCCTGATAGAAGCACAGATTGTGCAAGGCGCCCAGCGTAGCATGCAACAGCTCCAGCAGCTCGGCCGGCTGAGCGGATTCCGTTGCTGTGGTGCCCAGTGCGGCGGTTGCATTCTGCAGCAACCGGAATAGAACAGCGCCCAGCGCATGAACATTGCCCAGGCCGGCGCCCACATCCGCATTGACGCTCATATTGGCCACCACACGGATCAGCTTGATCTGGGCATCCAGCAGCGGCTCGCTGGCCAGCGGGCGTTCGCTGAGCTGCTGCAGCACATTCAGCAGATACTCCATGGCCACGTCGTTCTGATAGTACTGCAAGAGAAATATGATTATTTAAATGTATTATATATTATATATGTATATATATATATTATATATGTCTTGTAGAGATGTGGACACAGACCTGGACGCGCGCCGTTTCGTGCTTGGCCAAAATGTTGCCCAGCATATAGCCCAGGCGACTGAGCACGGCCAGCATGCGCTCGCTGCACTGGCCGCCCTTGGAGTAGGGGCCCAGCAGCAGGCCAATGCGAGCGGCATAGTTGTGCAGCGTATCGCAGCACTCCACATCCTCGGACAAGACGCTGCCAGGAAGAGAGCGGAATATTAGAAATCCAATTGGGAAAAGCCAATCGAAGTCTGTACTTACCTCAGCGTGCGCACCACATTCGCTTGCACCTCCAGCTCGCCCATGGAGACCTCGGCGGCGCGTATTAGATGCGGACAGGCCAGCTGCAGCTGCAACTGAAGCCGCTGCTGCTGCTGGGCCACGTCGGCGAGAGCGCGCATCGCCGCCGACAGCTGGTAGAGCGTGTGCAGCGGCGGACCGCTGAGACGACGTGTGGCGCCCGCCTCGTTGAGCATTTGGAGATGCAAAATCATCAGCTCGACGGCGCCGTGGCGTGCCAGGCGCGACACCAGCGTCTGTTGGCCATTCAGCTTGCGTGTGTCGGACGCACTTGGACTGATCAGGGCTGTGGCAGCTGCTATCGCTGCGTGCGTCGGCGGCGACGATAGCTCCTCCAGGCCAGCGGCCCAATTGCGATTGAGCGCATCGTCGCGCTCCTGCGCATTGCTGGCGGTGAGGAATCGTATGCAGCCATAGGCATAAATGCAGGCCTCGGGATCGTCCAGCGGCGAGGCGTGACCCAGGCCATCGATCAGCAGCTCCAGCACATCGTTCTCGTGGAACAAGCCGTCGTGCTGCTCGTGGCGAGCCACCTTGAAGATGAGCTTGCAGGCGCCGGTCAAGTTGCTGCCCGTCACGCGTAGCTATGCGAAAAGAGGAGGAAGAGTTTAGACTCTCAGGAATTTCAATCAAATAATACGCATATAGATAAAGAGCAATGATTGCTATATATAGGCTATCGCGCCTGAACTTATCGTCTATCGATATTGAAACACTATGCCAGAAGCGAAGAGGTTCTACATACGGAAGGTGTGGATAGAGGATATTGACGAAACTCTAAGGAATTCTAATCCATCAATAGCATATGGATAAAGACTATGACTATGAAATGGATGAAGAGCATGGATTATTTTTGATAAGTTATCGCATATATATATATATCATTATCGATATATTGCACAATACCATACCAAAAAGAGGATTAGATTCTATAGAGTTTGAAGAGATTCTAAGGAATTCGAATCCATCAATAGCATATGGATAAAGACTAATGATTCCTTGCGATAAGTTATCGCGCCTTATCGTTTGTCGATATGCGCTCATATTGTGAAACACTTACCGCCAGCACAACACGCGCCACAGCCAGTAGGATTCGTGGCGACGTGCACTCGACCAGGCCATAGAGTCCGCCCAGGATGAAGGCGCGCTTGAAGTTCCTCTCCTGCTTGTGCACGCGCGTATACAGCTCCAGCAAAATCTGCAACCAGCAGCAGCGAGAAAGAGAGTGAGAGAGAGAGAGAGAGAGAGAGAGAGATGAAGTTGATATTCATGAATACGCTCGCCACACTTACCGCATTGATGTGCTGCACTGTCTCGGCGCTGCAATCCTTGAGGCCGGCATGCTGCTTCAGCATCTCGATGAGCATCTCGGAGCTGCACTGGCCCAGCAGGGCGCCATTGCGCGTGGCCGGCCGAGCGCTGTCTGCCGCTGTGCCCGGCAAGGCGGGCAATTGCCGTGGCTTGGCATCAACACTGCGACGATTCAACAGAGCGAGATCCGTGCCGCCGGCTGGCGTTGGCGGCGTCAATGGCTTATGGTGCTCATTCTGCAGATATCGCATGCTGTGTGGGAAGGGAAGAGACTTGTCTGAAAAGTGAGAGAGCTATTGAGAGAGTGGGCGATACTCACGAGAAAGCGCTGGGCGGACGGCCGGCCAGCGCCACCTTGCCGTAGAGCACACGTCCGGGCTCGCGTGGCGTTATGGGACGCCGTGTGCTGACCAAGCGGGCGCCGCCAGCTGCGGTCATTGTGGCCGCCGCCGTTGTAGTTGTCGTGGACAGGTCGCCCAGGTAGAGCTTTGCCTCGCTGATGAGCTCAGCGGAGGTCTTGCGTCTGCCCATGCCGGTGCCCAGGCCCAGGTGTTGTATGCTATGTTCGTTGTCCTTTTGCGGTTGTTGTTGTTGCTGTTGTTGTTGCTTTTTTGTTGTCTCTTGTTTTGGTGGCGCTGCCGCTGCCGCTGCCGCTGCTGTTGCCGCTGCTGTTGCTGTTGCTGTTGGCTGAGCACGGGTCTCGCTGCGCGACCGTCGCTTTAGCAGCAAACTCATTCTGACAATGAGGAACAACTTCGACTGCTGCACTGAAATTGAGAGCTGGAATCTTGTGATTGGCGGACTCTGGTCCGGCTCGATGTATATTTGTGGTCCAGTTTAGACGCGTGGCGCGGCCAAAGTGCGCAAAGGTAATGCCAAACGTCTTGCCTCCTGCCTGGCCAATTGGCCTGCCTTTGAGCCAGCCAGTCGGGCGAACTTTGAAAGCTTGGAAAATATTTTTCGTTTGGGCCTTTCGTGCACCATGCCAACCGGCCTGGAACTAGCCCGGGTGCAGACTGGTAGGAGGGGGGGTGGGCACTGCTGCCGGGTTGTTTGCATGTCGAGCGAGTGAGCTAGCCAACCCCCTTTCAACTAACCGTCGCCCCCCTTTAGCCAAATGCTAGCCAAGACACAGTGAGGCGAAAACTCCTCGGAGTTCAAATAGTTGTAGTAATAGAAAATGTAAAATTGCTTATAGTTTCTATATAAACATGTTTTTTATATATACATATATGCAAAATCAGAAATTGTTAAATTTATATTTTATTATTTATTTTTCTATTTTTTATCAAATCAAATCTTTTAAAAATATATATATAATTAATTTATTTATTTTTTTTTTATTTTATATATATTTTTTTGTTATATTTATTATTTTTTTTATATATTTTTTATTTTATTTTTTTTTATTTATATTTAATTAATTAATTAATTTTTTTTATTTTATATATATTTTTTGTTATATATTTTTAAAAGACTTGATTTGATTATTAAATAAAACGTCTTAAAGGTTAAGATTAGTTTAGCCCAACATATTTTGAAATATAAATACAACATTAAATGTTTTATTATTTTTTAGTCATTCAACAATTCAAAAGCCAAGAATAGTTTAGACTACTATATCTTCAATTATCAATATTACATTAGATCTAGTATTTGATTTTTTAATTTGACAATTACTTAATTCTATAAAATAAACAAGTTAAAATAATTAAGAATCATAATTTATGAAAAAAAAAAAGAAAAAAAAAATCAGTAAAAGTTACTCATAGTTGAGGCTAATATATTTTTGCCTCATCAATATATTGTTGATTTGCAACCACTGTGCACGGCGCAACACCTTTGAAAACTCAATAGAAAAGAATAGTTATGAAGCTAAAAGTGAGAAATCGGGCAATCGATATTCGTAGTACGCAATTTTTGGCACGAACGGGCTCTGAGCTCCAACGTCCAGCTTAGCATGTCTAGCGCTTAGTCAATCAGTTAGTTAGTTGGCCAGCAAAAACGCCCACCGTTTGGTGAGTCAGCTGGCTGAGAGAGTTGGCCAGAGGACAATTTTCAATTGAAATATTTAATTCAATTTAATTGAATTGCAGAAATGGCTCGTTGAAAACTAGAGTTCTTCTGTGTGTGTGCGAATACATATACATATATATGTATATGTATATGTATGTGTAGGTGTGCATATATAAAGTAACAATGTCGACCTCATAAATAGCAAAGGTATGCAATTAGCTTGATTGCGTGGCATGCCACAGTATTGAGAATTGTGGTTTATAGCTGGTCTCGGGATACGGACGGCTAAGGGTTACGGGTGACGGGTGACGGGTGACGGTCTAAGGGTATGGGTCTTATGGGCATGGACTATGGACAATGGGTCTATGGGATTGACCCTAGCCGTTTGGCTGTCGTTCGCCACGGTGACACGAATTTGGTCCGGCTTTAATGTAGATTGCAAAAATTTGATAGCCAACGGAATAGTGACCTAAATTCAATTTTCTCATTACAGGTCAGCGATATTGAATGAAGTACAAACACAAGGCAGCACAAAACTACCATCAAATAAATCTGTACTAGTATTAGGCGATAATGCCACTGGTAAGACGACGCTCATTGCGAAGCTGCAGGGCGTCGAGGATCCGAAGAAGGGTTCCGGCCTGGAGTATGCCTACATTGATGTCAAGGATGAGTACAGAGACGGTTGGTGTTCGAAATCAGAGTTCTATATGGTTAACTATAATAATTGAATATTGTTGCCTTGCTTTTCAGATATGACGCGCCTCAGCGTTTGGGTACTGGATGGCGATCCAGGACACACAAATCTGCTGCATTATGCGCTCAACGAAACGAACTATGCACACACCCTCGTCATATTAACAGTCTCGATGACACAGCCGTGGGGCTGGCTCGAGCAGCTCAATCAGTGGATCAAGGTGCTCGCCCAGCACATTGAGAGCCTGCAATTAGATCCCAAAGAGAAGGAGGCGGCACGCCAGCGCTTAGCAACGACGTGGCAGAGCTACTGTGAGGTGGGCGATGATCTCGATCCCGGCTCACCAGTTAAACGCACCATGCACAACAATTCGATCGATGAGGATGATCTGTTGCCGCTGACAGAGGACGCACTAATTACAAATCTGGGCCTGGACATTGTTGTTGTGGTCACAAAGGTGTGTATTTCCACACACACACACACACACACACACACACACACACAAGGCTTGATTGATTTCATTTACTATATCCTCATTCCCTCCTCGATCCACAGACGGACTACATGTCAACACTGGAGAAGGAGTACGAGTACCGTGACGAGCATTTCGATTTCATACAGCAGTGGATACGAAACTTTTGTCTGCGGCACGGCGCTTCGCTCTTTTACACGAGCGTGAAAGAGGACAAAAACTGTGATCTCCTTTATAAATATCTAACGCATCGAATTTATGGTCTACCATTCCGTACGCCAGCGCTAGTCGTTGAAAAGGATGCGGTGCTCATGTAAGAGGATTCGAATTATATTCGCCATATCCTTGATCACTGATCATTTGATTTTGCCTTTGCAGTCCGGCGGGTTGGGATAGCCTGAAGAAAATAAGTATTCTGTATGAGAACATGCATGCGGTCAAGGCCGAGAATCATTACACAGATATCATCAAGGCGCCGCCCACACGAAAGGTGATTCCTAGTCGAGTTGCTCCTGTTCAAGTGTTAATTTACATTTTTTGTTGCTGCAGGCCGTTTCCAATCGCGAAACGGAGGTGCAGACCGAGGACGAACAGGCGTTCCTGGCACGCCAGCAGGAGATACTCAAGCAAGGCGGACAGGTGCGTGGCGAGTCGCCGTTGCGATCACAGGGCGCCAATGCTAGCGCCAACAAAAGTGGACCACGCACACCCGGCAGCGCCGGTCAAAGTTCGCCCAAAAAGGTGAGTGTTTAGCCATAGATCACATACACCTTCCGCTTTACAACTATTGAATCGATATTCCAGATTGATCCCAAGCTAACGCCTGCCACGCCCGGCGGCGAAGGTGTGCTGGCCAACTTCTTCAATTCGCTGCTGCATAAAAAGTCGGGCGGGCCAGCCGGTGGACCGGCTGGCGCAGCCAGTCCTGGCGGCGGCGTGGGCACGCCACGTACCTCCAATGGCACCGATTCTCTCTTGACGGCCGAGAAGATATCTGTGCGATCCGATGCGGCCGCTGAGCTGGATCGCTTGGCGCGCAGCGTCAAAAAGGATATTGATCTATCCCAAAGTGAGTGTTGAAGGCGTAGTTAACGTGCAGGCAGCATCAGTAGAAGCTACAGCAGCAGCAACTATAAAAAAAAAAAAAACAACAACAACAACACCATCAACAACTTTAAAAGAACAACAACCATCAACAGCAGCAGCAACAACAACATCTGCACCAACAACAACAACAACAACAACAGCGCAGCAACAGAGTAGTATCAGTAACACATACACAACTACATATATAAATCGATAGAGGGAACTCATGTGCACCGACTCGAACATACGAATTAGAGGACTTTCATCATGCTCTGCAGATCAGAACTCTCTTCTCTTCCATGGCAACTAAGATAGCTAAACAGCTGGACAAAACTTGGCAGCACATACAATGGGCTAAACGTTGTTAGCCAGCTGTTTGGGCCATGAGAAACTAGAAATAGAAAAACAATGTTTCGCTTGAATTCCACAGACATCAAATGTTAAAATATGATTTGTTATTAAGTTGCGTTTGGCATTGTGAATGTGTATCGTTCGCTGAGTGTTGGTATTTTTTACGAGAGCTGGGTAATATGTAGAATACGCATTACATACGAAATATTATAAAAACAAAACAAAACAAAACAAAACATAAAAAAAGAAATAAAACTAAGACAAAAGAGAAAGAAAAACAAAAACACATTGAAATAATGAGAGTTTAGCTAAGCGAGTAAACATTTAGAGAGGGGACGGCGCTTCCTCCACATGCTTCTCCACTTCGGCATGTATGTGCTTATTCTATAAATTGATATACGCATACACATATGTATATAAATACATATATGTATATACAAATATATATGTATTGATATATTTTTTTTCATCTGTGTTTAAGCATAGTCTGGGGCCACACGTGTGTATATTTAAATTATTTAAATTATGTAATTTTGAAAATGTATTTAAGAATGCGACAATTGTGAAATTCTGTTGCGCGCTGAGAGATTCAAAAAGTCCAAAGCCCAAAGCGCCCAAAATGGCTTGGCAACTGCTTATACACACTTAAAACCCACACACTCACACACACACACACACACACACACACACACACACACACACACACACACACACACACACACACACACACACACACACACACTAACTGTAGTTGATAGCTTGTATGTACTTTTTAATTATATTAATTAATTACACACACACACACTGGCTTTATGTAGTATTTGTTACAGAGATTTTTGTTGTGCGTCCTGCAGCAGCAGCAAAAAAAAAAAAAAAAAAAAAGGCAAAGAACAACAAAAGAAACCGCAACATAAAAAAAAAAAAAAAAAAAAAAGCATAAGCAAATTTAAATAAGTATTTAAATGAACATGAAATAATCCCCAATTGTTGCGCATTGTGTTTTTCTTTGTAATTATATAAAAAAAAAAAAATTGATTTTAATAGTCTGATTATTTTTTTTTTTTCGCTCAAAGCCACACGCGTTTAATTAATATTGAGTAAAGAGAGTAAATAACAGTAAATAAAAATGAAACTAAAATAAACACAAAAACAAAAACTAAATGAGATGATTTATAATATTGTGAATGAGTTTTACTAAGAAGATTTTAACAAAAAAGTCAAGCGAACCGATGTACTCAAGAGCCTTCGCTGCAATATGACCGACCCCAAAACTGTATAAAAATATGCAAATATATGTAGTATCTATATGTATATATAGTTGCATATTATAAAGACAGGCGATATACATTCATTCATTGATCAATCAATACTACTTAGCGAAATTGATTTTCGATTGTATTTCAATGTTTAACCGCAAGTATCGAAATGTATAAAAAACGAAAACAAAGATAAGAAAAAGTATAAACAATATCAAATTGTAACAGTTAACAGAGAGCGAGTTGGGTTTGACGTTTGTACTTTTGTAAATTAGGCCAGAATAAAAGCTTGAAAGCCTCGCTAACAACAACAATCTGAACCAAATTGTTTCCAATTCAATCAATCGACTTTTTGCCATATGCCTTGACTCGGCCACTGCTGCCCCGACCCCCCCCCCATTCCGCGCTCCTCTTTGATAACACTATTCACTTTTACACACAGCTCGCTGTTTGCCTCTCGCTCTATGCTGTGCGCGTCTCAATTGAAACAACAAAAATCATAATTGTTAAGCATAAACACTATATATGTATATATGCATATAAATAAATATATATATATATATATATAGAAGGCACATAAATTAATGCTACAGAATCTATTTTTTATGTATAAGCAAAATGATTGCATATGAAACTATTGTATTACGGATTACTGTGAAGCACACACACACACACACACACATACATTTCAATTGAGAACCAAGTGAATATAGTATAGATATTCATATATAGTATATACATACAGACATACCCATATACATCTATTGTATTTATTCCGCAATAATTTCAGAAGTACACTGACTACAATAACAACAACAACAACAACAACAACAATAGCATCTAGAGCGTTGACTATTTCTGTGAATCCCGAACGAAACTTAATGTTAATTTATACAATTAAATATTTATATAAAAAAAAGAAAACGATATCAAATGCAATACAACAGCCGCATTGAAAATATTTCAAATTTAAAAATTTACAAAATAAAAGAAGAAATTAAAAACAAATAAAAACATAAAATATAAAAAATTATATATACAAAATACATGCAGAATTGTTTGCTTATGCTTAAAATTGCATGAGGGTCGAACAAATTTGCTTTATTCTGCTGTTTCAATGCATACATACATACATGTTTGCATGCTGACACACATACATACATACACATTTTTATTTTTATTTTTGATTTATTCATTTATGTATATTCTAAACATTCACTGAGCGATTATTTTATTTGCAGCTCGCAAGCCATCCCTAGCGGTTCCATAATTATCCACACATATGTCTATCTAGTTGATTTGATCCTTGCCAGGGATATAGTTCGGGAAGCAAGTTCTATTTCATTGAAGTCAATTCAAGAAACAGTCTGAGGACAGTCAAGAAAATGTAATTAAATTGTTCGCAAACAGAATTTTGTTTGCTCGGTATTTGAGCTAAATTTTTGGAAATATTCATGCTTGATCATTTTGGAATGGAATTAAATGATCAAAAGAAAACAAAATCTAGATAAATATGTGTGTGTGTGTTTTTTTTTTTTTTACTGATTAAAATGTTATTGAGTGGCGTAAATGAATGGCTCTTTTTTTTATTATTTCTTAAATTTTGAAGAGACCTCGTATTTCTATTGTGATTAGAATTATTTAATTATATTTATTTTTTATTTGTACTCGCAAGGTAAACGTAAATTGATAAGCGTGCATTTGACTACGGCCTAGAATCCAATGAGGTTGGCCGGAATGAATTAACCGGAAATGGAAATACAAGAAACGAAATTTGCTCCCGTCGCGTCGCTAAGTGGGGAGCGAAGAGCTGTTGGCAATGGCTGACGATGGCTTTGATGTGGAGGCTTTTATTAATGATGTTCCAGTTGCTGTCAGCGCGACTGACGCTGCCGATGATTATCAAGTTTCAAAGGCAGAGGCAGGCCATAACATTTTCACATCATTGATATTTTCATTTCGATAATGATTTTCACAAAACGTCAAGCGGCATATGCATGTGTGTGTGTGTGTGTGTGTGTGTGTGTGGCCCAAGGCCTGGCTTGGCAGGCTGACTGGAAATATGAAAGGAAAGAAAACGCCTGGCGTCAAAGGAACAGCTGCCAGATGTTTAGCTGGGCCATGTTTGCCTTGATAGCTACAAGGATAACACTTTACTTGACCTTTGTGTGTGCGCACTTGATAAATGATGACGGCGTTGTTGCCACCGCCACTCCCACTTCCTGCCGCCTCTGTTACTGCCTTTTCCGTAGCTCTCCTACTCGTCTGCGTCTGCTACTTAGTTGTGGTACTCTTATTGTTTTAGCTGTGTGTGTGTGTGTGTGTGTGTGTGTGTGTGTGTCTCTGCTGCTGCGCTCGCTTCCTGCTGCAGTGTCCTGTGCTTAATCCTGAAAGATGGCAGCCGCTTGCTACGTGCTCATCTCGCTTATTGCCAGCTATGCCGAACTTTGGACTTGGCTCAATATTGACATTGATTTTGATTTGATGGTCTGCTGCAAGCACACACACACACACACACACGCACAGCGAGAGAGCTCTGTTATGTTTCTATGCAATTGGTTGGCCCACTGCATATCATTATATTATCTTAAAATATATATACTTCATATTGTAATGTTGCTTTAAAATATATTCAATTTGTTTATCAATGCATTATCAATCAGTTGGCTGTAGTCCTCATGAGAATTGCATAGAACGGCAGTAAGGCATGTTGTCTAGCCTGAAGTCAGTCTAAAGCCAGACAGAATAATTTCTACTTGAAATTTCTATATGCCAAAAGCTTGTTATGCATACCTGGCTGAGTTCCGTGCCCAGGTAATACCCAATATTTAAATACATCACATTTATAAATATCTATCTGTCATGGCTTGTAATTGAATTGAATTTATTTGTGGACAGCTAATTATTATTTAAAGTTTCATACAGACTCACACGCTCAATACTTGGATCTTTTAATTGGGCAATTAATAATGAATAGTAATAATAGTAATTTCCTTTTTTTTTTTTTTTTTTTTTTTTTTTGACAATAAAGTAATCTGCTGCAATTAATTCGATTTATAAAAACAATCTATTTTTCATATGCTCCAATGCCGATATCCAAACAGACAGACAAATTGTGCGGCCATTTATTTGATGTTTATTTACAGCTGTGCACACTTCTTGATAATGCAGACAAAACACACATACACACACACACACACACACAGACGACCGCATACACATACATACGACCGCATATACCGCACAACAATGCTGTTAATGCGAAAATAATTAATGCATATAAAAATTCAAATAAATATATTGCGGTTAATTTCGACCACAAATATATTTGACCGATATATATATTTATATATATACATATATACATATATATATTTATATATATATATACATATATATATTTATATATATAATATATACAACATTAATTGGTCACACCAGCAACAATATGATTCATGGATATTAATGGATCTAATTAAATTTGCATAAAGTTTGCGTCGCAAAAAATTCGTTCTTAACAAAATGCTACAGACAGTCGGAGAGCATATCACGCGATACCCTAACATGCTAGGCCTATCAATTAACTGAACTCACATGTTAAGTATTGCAAAAGAATAGATATAGATTCCAATTAGCTGCAACTTATATAAAAATTCCAGACCTTGTCTATAGAGCATTGTGTGTCAAAACATGAATTATATATACATATATTTTTTATTATTTACTTAAGAAGTTTGAAGAAGTGGATCGAGTCGAGGTATTTTTTTCTGCATTTATGATTAAGACATTCTTCAATTTAGTTGAAAATTAAATTTTCTTTTGAATAGTAATAAAGTGAAATTAGGAATTGTCATGGCAAATACAGAAGCGGCACCTTATCGACTCTGACTACGATGAGGCATCAGCATGATGCTGTGTGCCAACACATTTCCTCAACAAATTGCGCTTCCGGTCAGGCCACACACCCGAATAAATAT